GTATTTGCCTTTCCATCCTTGTGTGGTGGATTTGATTTCCCCTAGAAGTTTTAGGTAATTTGCTTTAAATAAAGTGGCTGGTGTGGGTGTAAAGTTGACCCCTAGAAACTTGATATGGTCTTGTCTCCATTCATAGTTAAAGTGTGTTTTCAGGGCGTTCAGGTCGTGGTTTGGGATGTTAATGCTCAGGGCTTGTGTTTTTGCTATGTTTAATTTGTAGAAAGAGCACCTACTGTAGAGAGCCAGTATTTTATGGAATTGTAGTAGAGATGTATGCGGGTGCTCTAATGATAGCAGAATATCATCTGCGAACAGCGTTAGTTTATATTCTTTCCCTTTTATGTGCATTCCGCTTATGGCGGAGTCATCTCTTATCATTTGGGCCAGGGGTTCGAGTGCCAGGATATATAGTATTGGGGAGAGTGGGCAGCCTTGACGGGAGCCGTTCGAAATTTTAAAGGATTTGGAGATAAATCCCCCATTTGTCACTCATGCTGTAGGGGAGGAATATAGTGCTCTGATGAGAGCGAGGAATTGGGGAGGGAATTCAAATTTTTGTAGGACCGCTAGTAGGAACGGCCAGTGGAGTCTGTCGAATGCTTTCTCGGCATCGAGGGATAGTAGGATGCTTGGGGCCCTTTTCTCCTTCAGACTGTGTAAGAGGTTTTGTACTTTCCGTGTGCCGTCGGCTCCTTGCCTGCCGCTGACAAATCACACTTGGTCTTTGTCGATTAGCTCAGGGATGATGGGGGAGAGTCTGTTCGTGAATATTTTTGCAATGAGCTTGACATCAGTGTTCAGTAGGGAAATTGGCCGTAAGTTTTGACTTCTGTTGGGGGTTTTCCCCGGTTTCGGTAGGGTAGCTACGTGAGCCATTAGCATCTCTTCTGGCAGTGTTCCGGTTTGTAATGTGTGGTTGATTAGTTTGCGTAAATGGGGGGCCAGGGTATGTGCGAATTGTTTGTAGTACGAGTTAGTTAACCCGTCGGGGCCGGGGGACTTCCCTATGGGGAGTGCATGAATTGTGTCTATGATTTCTTGGACCGTTACTGGGGCCTGAAGACTTTGTTTGTGTGCTATAGATAGCGTGGGTAATGTTGTTTTTTGGAGATAGTCTTTGATGTCTTCGTTTGTGGGTTTGTGTAGCGCAGGGTCTTCTTTTAGGTTATATAGCTCTTGGTAGTAGTCTGCCATTTCATCGTTTATGTCTTGTGGGTTGTGGATTTTTCCTCCCTTTTTATTGAGCAGGTACGGGATTTTAGAGTTCGCTTGTTTTTGTCGAAGGATGGTTGCTAGGTGTTTCCCTGCTCTATTACCTTGTGTATATGTTTTCATCTTCAACTTTGTTAAGATATGATTTGTCTTGCTTAGGGCTAGTGTGTTGAGTTGGTTGGTTATGAGTGCTATAGAGTTGGCTAGTTCATCGGTCGGTTGCAATAGGTGTTCATTGGTCGAGTCTCGCAGTTTCTTTAGAAGGTCCAGGTGTTCCCGTTCTCGTTGTTTTTTCAATAATGATGCTTGGCTTATCAGAAGGCCTCTCATAACAGGTTTGTGGGCCTGCCAAAGGGCTGCGGCGGGGGTTTCCGGGATGTCATTGAGTTCAAAATATGTTTTCAGGCTGTTCATAAGTTTTGTCGTGAATACAGTGTTTTGAAGCAGGGTGTCATTTAGACGCCACGGTGGCTTTCCTCTGTGTTGGTATTGAGTTAGTATGGTCATTGTAAGAGGTGCATGGTCAGACCAGACTATATTCCCTATGGAGCAGTTAGTGATGGCCGGGAGAAGTGTGCCTGATATCAGGATATGGTCAATCCTTGAGTATGTTTTGTGGACTTGTGAGTAGAACGTGTATTCTCTTTCGTTCGGGTTGCGTGTTCTCCATGTGTCGTATAGTCCATATTCGTGGATCAGTTTCGTGAAGGCTTTGTTCGCTGTCTTTAAGTTAGTGTGCCTAGCGGAATCGGCTTTTATTGTGGAGTCCATGCGGGAGTTCATGGTGCGGTTGAAATCTCCACAGATAACCGTGGGCGTGTTCGTCGTATGTGGCAATTTCGCGAGGATTTTATGTAGGAAATTTCTTTGTTGGTCATTTGGGCTGTATAAGCATACCAGCAAGAATGGTAGGTTGTTCAGTATGCAGTGTAGGATCAAGAACCGACCTTGACTGTCTTTTTTAACGTGGAGTATTTCCGTGGTGAGTGACTTATGTAAGAGAATAGAGACTCCTCGTGATTTTGAGGAGTGGGTGGCGTGATACTGAGTGGGGTAATCTTGGAGTGCGAATGTGGGAGTTCTGTTGGTGGCAAAGTGGAGACACACTATGTCTGCTTTATGGCTTTTCAAATCTTGCAGCAGCAGTCTCCGTTTGTGTGGCGTATTCAGCCCCTTGGTGTTGTGGGAGTAAAGGGTCACGTGTGCCATTTTGTGGGTCCAGAGGGTGCAGTAGATTTGTGCGTGATCTTATCGTCACTGGGTGTGGGGGGGGGGGGGGGGGGGGGGGGGGGGGGGGGGGGGGGGGGGGGGGGGGGGGGGGTTGGGTGGAGAGACTGCGGGAGGGGTGTAGCAGTATGTACAACGGCCTATTTAGGTCTGGTACGCTAGTCGTACCGTGGGGGATCGGAGTAGTGGTAATCCAAGTGGGTGGCTTGCGGGATCCGCTTGTTAACTAGGGTGGAGCAGATGGTCATATGGACATGCGCAATCGTTGCGTAGGGTGGGGGGGAGCTTCAGCATAGCAGGCAATTGTGCTATGCAGGCAGTACATTTCAGTATATCTTGTAACAATGTAACATTTTAAACAGTAATAACATTCGTAACATTTATAACATTTACACGTAACTAAGTGTGTTGCAGCAAGTGTGTTGTCTGTTTTGTCGTTGTGCTGTGCTCATGTGTGGCAACGCCATGGTGGGTGTCTATGGGTCGTTCAGTGCCACGTCTTCTCTGTGGTACAGTGCGGGTCATCGTGTGCGGGGGGTCAGCTCGGATTAGAGGTGTCAGTTGGTGTGAAGTATGCATGGTAGTGATTGAGATTGTGTTGTTTGGAGAGTTGTACCGTGTGTTGTGTGGTGCAGCTTCGTGCCTCCATGTTGCGTTGTGGAGTTGGGTGCTTGTGTACGAACAAGTGCTTGTCCCTCCGTCTCCACATGTGTCACTGCATCTGGGGATTTGTCGGACTATGTGACGTCGGCAGGAGGGGGGAAGCGTCCCTTCCTGGTGTACCCTGGGTAGTGGGGTTGCTGTGTGGCCAGTCTCTTATTATTAATGTCACCTTAAGTTTTTCAGAATAGACCCGCACCTCACCACACCCCACCACCCACACCCCTAAAAAGTATCCTTTTTTGTCCACTTCATACGTTGGAAGACATGGGTTAGAGTTATTTAAAGTGAGGATTTGGAGGGAGTGGAACAATACGTAGCCATGAGTGATATTAGTTATAATGAACAGAGTTTTGGTAACATCATGAATATCAGCAGCATATCCAGGAACACCCTAATGTACCCTCTCTGTCCACCATTTAGGCCCCCTTTGCATCAGGAGATGCAGCTCTTATCTCGTTTTATAAGGGTGGCAGTATGTATATCGGGCCCTAGGGCTGTCGTCCCCGTCTATGGTGTCAGTCGGTGGTCACCTGTCGGCATGTTACTGCTTGGACACGGTGCACCATAGCCCTGCTGTGTGTGGTGGTGGTGGCTGCATCTAAATTGTGTATGTGTGCTTAATCATCGAAAGCGACATGTGAAACCACAAGAGTTAAAATTATCAATATCAGCAATGTCAGTATACTTGCGCCATAAGGTAGATATTTTTTTTTTTTTTTTAGTTAATTCATTCGCTCAGTTCGTGTGGATTTGCGGCTGTGGGCCGAGGATGCTGGGGGGGTGCTCTGTTTACTACGCGGACTCCATCTCGCCAGTTCGTTCATGGCATCTTCTGGTCGCGAGAAGAGCTTCGTTTCTCCATTCCTCGTCAGTATAAGCTTGGTGGGGAAGCCCCATCTATAGCGGATGCCTCGGTCCCTCAATTCGGTTGTGACTTGCTGGAAGTCCCTTCTTCTCCTTAATATTGCGGCTGATAAATCCGCCATGATAAGCACAGACGGGTAGTCATCGTGCGGCTCTCGTTTGTTGCGGTGGGCCTGGAGCACAAGTTCTTTAATATGGTAATAATGTGCTCTGAGTACAACATCGCGGGGCACGGTGTCCGGTAGGTGCTTTGGTTTGGGGACCCTGTGGACTCTGTCGACCAGTAGCATGTCTGAGGGGATGTCTGGGGCATAGGCATGCATCAGGCCCCTAACGTACAGTTGTAGATCGTCTGGTTGGACTGATTCAGGAACACCTCTTAGCCGAAGGTTGTTCCTGCGGGCTCTGTCCTCATAGTCCGCCAGCTTTCCTTCCATGGCCTCCATTCTTTGCTGTAAGGTGAGTAAATTTTCGGAGATCCCGGTTTGTGCATTTTTAAAATCTTGGCAGTCGTTTTCCACTGAGGCTGTTCTGTTGGAGAGTTCTCTAACTTCAGTTTTTATTTGTTCAGCTGTGGATTGCCAGGTTCGTATCAGTTTTGCCGACATTGCTTCCATTGCCCTCTCAAAGTGGGTTATCGTGAGGTGTTCAGTCTGTGGTATCTCGTCCCGCAGTGTCAGGGGAGAGCCTGCATCTGGGCTGTCGGCGCCATCTTGCGCGGCGGTAAGCATGGCCTGCGCGGTTTCTATTGCGGCGGGTGTTTTATGTCCGAAGAAGTTACTTTTGTCAGCTTTGGGTGCCGCTTTCTTCCCCTTAGCCTGTGACATGCTTGGGTGTTGGTTTATGTTGTTTCTGCTCGTTTATTTCGCTTATGTGCGGATCCCATGTGCCGGAGCAAAATCTTAAGCTGCCATTTTGTCCGGCGGTTAGCCACGCCCCGAAAAAAAGGTTATTTATTTATCTAGATATTTTGTGCTCTCTCTCCCCCCTCCTGCCGCCTCCCCATCATCATTATGGTCTTTATTATTTTCTTTTTATATGTTCAACCAGACACACCACACACAGATAATGATGATGGCATAGGATCCAATGAAGATAAGGTAGAGACGATAAAGCAGAGAATCTAAAACATATCCAATCTGTATCCATTCTTCTTCTTGTTCTTGCAGATGGTTTTTGCTCTCCATCACCTCCTTGATAAAGTGAAGATTCTGACTGATCATTTCTAATTGTCTCTCGGGACCAGGGGACAAAGCATCTGGAGGAGGCAGCTCTGGTATTGAGGTATGAGGGTAGAAACAACAAGTAAATAAAAAAAATAAAAAAGACAATACAAACTATGCAGTCAAAGAGAGCAAGGAGAAAACCTAACTCTATAAAGGACATTTATACCAGCCATACATTTCCTATGTCTCTATTAGACATTAGAAATATACAGATATTAAATATGTATGTAAAGAGGCTGACCAGCTGTGTAGAGAGGAGTACACTGGAAACAGTCAGTAAAAGGGAAGTCTGGAATATTGGCATAACAAGTTAAGATGCTGAGCAGTGTAAGGTCACATGCCAATTAAATAAGGATCTGATCTCCTCACAGAGAAAAGTGATGAGTTTCTGTTCTGCTTTATGAAGGTTACCATAGTTTGTCTCTCTTGTAAGTACATCTTACTAAGACTTACATCTAACAAAAGACTTATGTTCTAGATATAAGTCTTGCGATTTCTACAGAGATTTGAATATAACTCTTCATCGCTCAATCTCATAATTGACTAGGATTTCATCATCTGATAACTGGTCCAGCAGAATCAGAACTTATTTTGACCCATGATACATATATTTTTAGCATTACTGAAAGGGGTAATTTAACCTGCAAATTCTCAGCATCAGCATAACTTATTTTTACTATAACTTTTCAATGGTTATTGTATTAAATAAATGTACAAAACTGATTAGTAGGGTAACTAAACAGTTAAGTAGACCTATAGTGTCAGGAATACACTTTTGTATCCCTGACACTATAGTGTTCCTTTAAGGGTTACATGGTTAATCACTGTGACAAACACTCCTTCCCACGAACGTTTTGCTTTTTTGGAGGGAAGGTGCCTGAGACTAAGAGGAACAAACACTACCTGAGAGCCAAACGAGCACCACACATTTCGGACGCAGGAGCTCCCGAAAGTTGACCGGCAAAAGCACCAAACGCCCAGGAACTATTTTGGGTATAGGACTACATGTGCGGCTGGTCAAAACTTTAACACGGTGGCGTTTCCCCTATACTGCATGGATCTGAGCGCTATTTGGAGAATTTTGGCACTCAAATCAGGGTTATTTGAGGATATATTATTTGTGGGGTTATTGTATGTTTTTATTATGTTTTGGGGTACTTTTATGTTTTTATATTTTTGTGTTTGACTCTCTGTTCCTGGGAGATAATTAGCTTACCGTTCTTTAACCCAATTTTCTCCCAGGCCCAGAGATTCTTGTGAGGGGTTTGTGTTGAATACAATGGAGAACCCATGTTGGGGTCTGTGCATTAAAGGCAGAGTTTGACTCATTTAAAATCTGTTGAACTCACAGAACTATATGTTGTTTAGTTACTGGGAGGGGAAAGGGCTCACTTCTCAGCACCTTGTTGCAGCTTGTGGAGGATTCAGCATGGAAAGTCCTTGAAAGGACTATAGCTCCCAGAGGCAATGTGTCTTCCAGTCCCTGGGAGGGAATAGTTCGAGGACGGAGAGGCTCCAGGAGGACCCCAGTCAAGCGGCGACTGGAGCCGAAGCACTGAGGTTTTCCCCGGTTCAGCTAGGAAGCGATCCTTGGCGGAGGTACCCAACCGGGGTACAGGGAGCTCTGCTACAATCATTCTATGATTAATTACATGTGTTTATTTTGATCTTTATGCTATCTCACTTTATTGTTTTAATGATAGATCATCTGGAATTCTTTGCTATCATTATAGTTTAGTCCCAACAGATAACGAGGGAGAATTATCAAGGCAAAACTGGTGCTAATTTGAGTGCAAAGTGCTGAATGTTGCAACTGTTCTTTTGCCTTGAAATAGCTCACTCCTTGTTCCCGGGTGGAGTATCCTGTTTAATTCGCAATAGCAGCTCTGTAGAACCTGTTTTTCAGAATGATTGGAATGTTCTATTTTGGTCTTTTAAAGTTAAAGACCATTTAGATGACTGAAATTTTTCCTTCTGGATTGTAGCAGTTTATTATACTTTGAGTACTGACCATAACTGATATAATCTGATTATGATTCACCTTTAAAATACAGTTACTCACGTGCTGCTATTTTTTTTCAAACTAACAAGGTCAGCAACTGATTATAGATGTAAATTACAAACCTACATCTAATTATTTATAATACAACTACTGACATGGTTACAAAATATTCAGTTTAGTGAATAGGTTTATTATGATATTTTGAGATCCTTGTATTTTTTTGACAACCTTTCTTACCAGGAACTACTCTGTGCCAAGATCTTACCTATGTTACTGCCATTTTCTTGGAAGTTGTTGGATGGTGGAGGTTTTGGTGTATAATTCTTGCTGCTTGTGGGTGGGACATGGTTATTGGATGAAGCAGAGTTAGGAATAACTGTGACACGATAACAGATGAGCTGAGCAATGTATCCTAACACAAGGCTTTTGACCCAAGATGGCACAGATCCGCTCTGCAACGTTCCACGATGTAGAACGTGAGTGATTATTACTGTCTCTAACAGACTGAGAACAAGCAGAGCCAAGCACACTGAAAAGTAAATACCTGAAAACAGACAAAAAAATATGAGTGACAATGAACTGTGACAGATTAATGACTACCTGACTGCCAAATCACATTAAAGGAAAACATTAATGTTAGGAATATAGTTCCTCTGGTTAAAAAACAAAACAAAAAAACTTAAAGGATTAAATACATTTTTCAGCAGATGGGGTGGACCTGATGCACATGCCCGAAGAGTGCCGCATGCTCATAGGACTTCCCCATAGTCAAACTCTGTGAAAGGCCAGGAAGCTACTCTAGAGGCTGTCCGGGCCTGCTCTCTACAGTCCCCACACACATACATTACAGTCCCTATGCACATGCTTGCTACACACTCTCAACAACCCCTAGCAACACATTTTACACCACAAATACCACTGGAAGAGCACTGAACCAATATGTTCATTTTAAGAGGGAGCATGCTTGTCATTGGTGATGACAAAATACCCATGCTCTGGCACCTGTGACAGAGAGGGGTGCAAAACCAAGGAGTTGGCTGTTTTGCACCACTCCCTGTCACAGGTGCCTCATTCCAGGACCCTATTTAGCCTTGACTTGCAGAGAGTCCCAGTAAGGAAGTATTTCCCAAGTAAGTGGATTAATCTCATAAGAGCAGGCATTAGGCTGCTAGAATATGACCTGCCAAGAATGGGGTACATTGACGTTGTGGTAGGCTTATGCAATATATAAACCCACATTATTTTTTGTCTAGGTGAGGAGTTTTTAAATAAAACTCTTACAATCTCTAAGATTTGAAATCATTGTTTAGTGAATAAGCGAGTGCGCTGGATTCTGTATTTTATATATATATATATATACGCACACACTCACACACACGTAGGTACACATACACAGACACAGGTATACATTCACACAGAAACACATACACACAGATGCACATACACAGACATATATAGCCAGATACACACACTGACAAACACAGCCAAATACACACACAAAGCCAGATACACACTGACACAAACACAGCCAGATACACACACACACCACAGCCAGATACAGACAACAAGAGCCAGATAAACACACACATATGGCCAGATGCACTGACTCAGACCCAGGTACACACACATATATCAATTATATCAAAGGGTGGCTTCACTGGGGTCCAGTGGGAGATGGATGGCCAAGGCTGATGGGAGTCTGACTTCCTCAGTCCCTTTCCTCCTCCTGTGTATGCCTCCTTCACCTCCCAAGCGGCACTCTGTTATTTGGAGGAAGTGATCTCACCAGACTTCCTCCAAGCAGGCAACATGAAAGGGGCCCAAGCCGGAGCACTCTTAAAGTGCTAGGTCCCTGATTACATCAGGTGCCGCAGAGCACAGGGTTTGGATGCTGGCAGGGTGCCCATGGGGCAGCTACCTTGAGCCCCCAGGAGTAACTGGGCCCGGGGCAGCTGCCCCTTTTGCCCCCCTTTAAAGACGGCCCGACTATAGCCACCAGAACAACTACAGCTTATTGAATTTGTTCTGGTGAGTAGACTCATAACTTCAGGCTTTTTGCTGTAAACACTGTCTTTTCAGAGAAAATGCAGTGTTTACATTACAGCCTAATGATAACTTCACTGGCCACTCCTTAGATGGCTGCTAGAGCTGCTTCCTATCTCAGTCTTGCCTAGTGTGCATCACAACATATCAGTATCTTCTCCCTCTGCATGCAGACACTGAACTTTCCTCATTGAGATTCATTGATTCAATTAATCTCTATGAGTAGATGCTGATTGGCCAGGGCTGTGTTTGACTTGTACTGGCTCTGCCCCTGATCTGCCTCTTTCACAGTCTCAGACAATCCTATGGGGAAGAATTGTGACTGACTCAGAACAACACTTCTGATGATGTCAGCAGACAGCTTGCTATTCTGAGGCAGACAGGGGCAGAGCCAGCAGCTTCAGGCTTGAATACAAGTAAGATCTTATTATATTTAGGGAGGCAAGAGAGGGCCAGGGGGACTAGATGGCGGTTTTAACATTATAGGGTCAGAAATATATGTTTGTGTTCCTGACCCTATAGTGCTCCTTTAATGCAACAGTTAACCAATTAACTGTAAGATATTTGTAGTCTGATTCATCACATCCTGTATTTGTTGTAGGCAGCTGTGTGTATGTGTGTGTAACCTGTGAGCACGAGTTTACCAATCAGAGGGGTCCCATTAGCTGTACTTGGCAACAGATCATTCATAATGAGAAGGAACACTGTGTATCCCAGCAGAAGAGTCATCTTGAAGGAAGCCCGGTCTGTGCTGTGTGGTGGGAGATAGAAGCTCAGAATATCAATCAGCATTAGGAAGGCGCTGGGAATGAGCAAGTTTACAACGTAGAGTACCGAGCGACGCCTAATCACCACCTGGCAAAATTAAAAAGAAAATGTGCACTGTGCAGCATAACATTTTTTAAACATTTTTTAAAAGAGGCACATTTTAATATGTTCCACTTTCATTCTATGATTTATTCCCTTAATATACTAATACTCCATCAACCCTGCCCCCCCTCCCCGCCACCCTAGCCTCAATAAACCTTACTTTGACTGTTCCTCACCCAAAATGTTATTATATCCCATTCATCAGCACCAAATTTCAGGACATCAGGGGCACCTTCTATCCTCAGAAGTTCCCACTCGCCACTGGTCTCCAAATAGTTCAATGAATTTGTCATAATCTGTTCAACAGGTAGAGCCAGCCCAAGACGCACATCTTTCACTGTAATGAGAAGACGGGTAGAGATGGTACTCTGTGTAATTTTGTTTATTATTAATTTGATTTACATATGTGCAAATCATATAGTGGTTTTCACAAACATACAATTTGTAGTTCAACTGTGTGGCTCACAGTATATTCTGCATTTTGGATGGCTGATGTGCTTTAGAGACTGGGTTGCTAACTACTACTCTTCGGTGCTAATGTTTCAATTTTCGAATTAAATGTGTGACTTCCAGCCACACACATTTCACTATAATTCCAATGCGACGACTCTTTTAGTGTAAATCCTATGAGACTATCTGCTACGTATATTTCATTATAATTACCAATAACTGTTTTTCTGTGTAATTTCTTTAAAAAATGCCTTTTTTTTTAAATTTTCTGTGTAATTCGTTAGTACCTGTATGCATATAAGAGCCAAAGGTTAGCGAGCAGTTCTGGACATCAAATGGGAAGTTGAAGATTCCAAGGTTACAAGAGCTGACCACTCGCATCATACGGTCATAGCGTACACGGCCGGTGTGATTAACATATGTGAACGGTGTGCGCTGGAACTTATCCTCATCTATACTGGAATAAAGATAATACAAAATACATTTTAGGTATTATTATGTTTTATTAGAAAAATAATATAATCAATTTTTTCATGGGGTATATCTTTGCTGTCTCATATATTGGATATTGACTTGGCTTGTGAAATAACAGATTTATTAAGTACACAATGTATGTATTTGTGTTAAAAAAGGTGTATACGTCATGGTTCTATATGGTAAATAGTTCACTACAATGTTCACACCATATTATACCCAGTGACATGGTGATATTTAATTTTCTTTCTTTTTTTTCTTCTAAGTATCACAGATTACTTCTGGATCAATAGAGCTTACACACCCTGTAGCCTTCTAACAGGCTGTCAAGTTATTACTCCCTGTCCATTTATAAATATACACAAGAAAGATGTTCATGCTTGTAAATTTGCATTTACCACTTACAATTCATAGACAATAATATCCGGGGACCACATGTTTTCCACTGGCAGCGAAATCTTCTCTACTGATCCACATTTATCCGGAATCCAGGTTAGAAGCTCGTTCTGCCAAAACTAATCACCGAAATTCCAAACGTTTATACAAAAGAATAGGGCAGTATGAGAAGGTTATGTTTGTCTAAGCTAGAAAGTCTTACCCATGTAATTATAATAGAATTAAATAATCTGTCTGGCTGAGAATAAAAGGGGTTACAGTGTACAGCATTTAGAAGTTGCCCCCTAACCCTAAATCTTCGGTATTCCTAAACTAATTTGACTTTACTTTGCACCTACCCTAAAACCTAACATCCTTCCTATGTTTATTTTGTGGCTTTTTAATTGTAAAGTTAAAAAGAAATAAGAATAATTTTATATATTTATATATATATATATAAACTGCCATATTGGTGCATATCCCAGCAGATACAGTAGTTGTGAAGTGAATAAGCCCCATACAAGCTACACTATTAATTGTTTCTTTTCTTTTAATATTTGGAGAACAACTTTCTCATCAAACGGCGTTGTGAATCTGCCTAAAAGAACATAAAGGTGCAATCTACTGAGCCAGCATTGTCAGGCTCATGCCCATGTGAGTGATTCTAATTACTGTTCACATTACTTAAACACATTCAGTACCATCTGCACTGTATTTCTCTCTGTATTTGTGCTTTTCATATTGTCCATCGATGTATATCCCCCCATTTTATCTCTATAATAGGAGGGTAAGCTTTATTACCCTGATTATTAATTGTAAGCACTTCACTATATATATATATATTAAAACCAATATATCATGTTTTCACACTTAAAATTTGCTTTGAATTCCTGAAAAATCACAATGTGGTATATAGTCTTGGAAGATGTGTATTGTTTCTTTAAGCATAAAACACAGCTTTTAAAGATATGATTCATAGTTTCCTGGAGACAGACTCATTACTGGCATCTAGATCATTTTCTGGCTCGAATACTTTCTAACCGCCAAATGCCACAGTTTTGTGGTCTTAGTTCCATTAGTCTTTTTTTGAATATTTAAGTAAGAAATGTTTTTAATTAGATATCAGTTACAGGCTTTTAACTTTCTTTCACTATTAATAGTTGTCTTCAACAAATTTGCAGAAGGCTTTGATAGGTTTTAGGATCTATTCTAGAGTTTGATTCACAGGGCTGACTTTGTAACTCACCAAACGCAGCCATAGAAATGTCGTCAGAATCTGACTTTTCTCATTCTAGAAAGGAAAAGCCATTATTACAGATATTAAATGGAAAGACTCACAAACTGGTGTCTTTATGTCTTTAAAACGCACAATAATAAGCCCTTTTCCCACCAATATCTTTGCAAGTTGAAAGTTCTTAAGCTCAAATTGTGATTTCCACTTTGTATTTTTTTTCAATTTTTTTTTACTAAAAGGGCAATCAAAATAAGTGTAACAGAAGGAATAGCAATAAATGCCATGTGTATATAAGATCCAGTGTAAATTTCACAGTAAGTCGATTGCTCTATTTATATACCTGCTTTTTAGTTTCATAAATAACGCTCTGGTATAATCAATAACTTAATTATACAGGTAAAAACTGTCTCTTTTTACTATAAATGAATAATAAGTGTCAGAATAAACTGACAACATTATGTGTTTACTTGTTACATAAAATATGAGTTCGACATAGTGGCAGTTTTTTGCAAAGGTTTGTGAAAATGTAAGATTTTACATTTACAGGGTGGATTTACATTTAAGGCCATTTACATTGGAATTCAGCTTCTATGGCTAAAATCTGAAATTCTCTTTGAATATTCAATAGTTCTCACTTTAATAAATCACCCTGGCAAACAGTGTATTAGTTTTGCTAAAGTCTAAAAAAGCCCCTGGTCATAGAACATTTGTTGCTGAACTATACATTAAATTGAAGGGAGACAAACAGGGCGGTTCATCCAGCAATCCTAGTGCAAGGAGTATCTCTTTAAGACATTCAGGTCAACTCAGACACACCCTATCAACCATATTCCTCACCACTCCTAAAACAGCATAGAGTGTGAAAGAGATGTTCACACTTGTTGGACGACTGTAGTTCAGTGTTGGACGAAGAGCTTTTTTTTCAAAAACAGCCATTAGGGATTCTTCTGAGGGCCCGGTCTCAGAGCCTGTACACTGCAGCTCACTGCTCCCTGGGGGAATTGATGGAGGAAATAGTTAATTAAAAATGAATCAATGTCAGAAATCCCTAAACCTATTTTATGTAAGATTAGCAGCATCAACTTCTGAGTAGATTTACTGAAACATATGTATTAAGATAAATAAAAAAAATATGAAAAAATGAAACATAACATAGAGTGCACTAGGACTGATGTTTGCTCAGATCCATTTATATCCTCTTTTTGTTCTGAGAAGTACTAAACTCTCTTGATGTAAAAGTCCAGTATGACTGAACCATCTTTTTCCCCCAAGTGTTCTCACTATTGGTCAGATTTGTGAGGAGCGACAGCAGCTAGTTTCTCATGATGCACAGAGCTAAGGCTGCCGAGGTACATGACATCAGACCATGGCGGCTGAGACTATATGCATTGAGAGGGAGTGATGGGGCTCATATGAAGATCCATTTCAGGCCTAGGAAAGCATCCGTGCAGCTGTTGGTAAAGGCAGTATATGTCTGTGTGTGTGTTTGAGTGTCAGTAAGCTTGTGTCAATAAATGTTTCTGTGTTTGTGGGTCGTGTACGTGGCAGTGGCTGTGTGTGTGTCAGTGTATGTGTGTGTTTAATTGACTGCATGTGTCAGTGTAATGTGGGTTAATGGGTGGAATTGTGAATCAGTGTATGTCTGTGCCAGATTGTGTGTCATGATGTGTCTAAGTATTTATGGTTTGTGTGTCAGTGAGGTTTTGCATGTGTCACTGAAAGTGTCCGTGTGATTTTAAATATCAAAGTTTAATTAAAACTTACTGCTGTGACATTGCTTTGGATGCCTCACATTGCTCGTATGCGTCTGTTTATATGCATTTGTTCCTAAGTACGAATGGCAGACCCCAGAGCTCCAATGAATTTGTCATGCATGAACAAATGCTCTAATGACACATCAGCAACTTGCTTGCCTTGCGTCTGTCCCTAATATTGCCTAACGTTTACTCTGCTTTCTTCTACCCTGGATATCAGCTATATCTCTGAATATTCATACATTAAGCCCGGCCACTCTAAGATCTGGTAATAAAGAAATGTTTATATTCTGCTGTAGCTTAGTGTCTGTATACAAGCTTAAAGGACCACTATAGTGCCAGGAAAACATACTCGTTTTCCTGGCACTATAGTGCCCTGAGGGTGCCCCCACCCTCAGGGTCCCCCCCCCTCCCGGCTCTGGAAGGGGGAAAGGGGTAAAAACTTACCTTTTTCCAGCGCTGGGCGGGGAGCTCTCCTCCTGCTCTCCTCCTCCGATCCTCCCCGTCGGCTGAATGCCGCTAGAGACAGCCGCTAGAGGCTTTGGGGGAAGGCTTAACCCATTCATAAACATAGCAGTTTCTCTGAAACTGCTATGTTTATAAAAGAATGGGTTAACCCTAGAAGGACCTGGCACCCAGACCACTTCATTAAGCTGAAGTGTTCTGGGTGCCTAGAGTGGTCCTTTAAGTATTTTAGGCATCTGCATTGTACTTTTGATATATATATATATATATATATATATATATATATAAATACTTCATACTGACTGTTGCATATCTGTGGGTATTTTTGCATGTATGGTCAACTGAGTCATGTATTACACTATTGAATTTCCGTTGGTTAGTTTGGTAACATATATTAATAGAGTATTTTGTGTTCTGAGCCCATTGCACTTGCTTTACCTAACTTACCTGCAAACTCTCTGTTGCATTTCCATTGGTGTTGTAGTTCTGAATTATGAACACTAGGTTCTTTGGTGTCACACTTTCAGGTGGGATTTCAGTTTTGTATCTCTGTAAACATTTTCTTTTGCCCTCCACTTTCTATTCACCTATTTTTAGCATCAATTTCCAGCATAGCTTTCATTCATCTGCTAGGTGTATGTCTACTCATGCCACATTTATTGTTTTGCATTTACGTTTTTCAAGTCACCACGCAAGTGACTCGCTTTACGATACTACCTCCCTTCTTACAACAACCACTTGCTCTACAGAACTTATCATTAGCTTGGTCTGGCTGTTAGAGTAGCCTAAGTGGCCATAAGTAGTTTTTGGCTTCTTGTGCCATTAAATAGCTGTCCCGCGAGGCCAACTCCCATCCTCAACTACGGAGGTATTTGCCCCCAGGCCAAATCATAGTTACTGCCTTGCATCTCTGTCCTCTTGGCAAAAGCAGTTAGGGCCTCACCTGTCATGGCCAATTTATTTTAAATCTCTTTAGTCCTCACCGAGAGGCCAACACCCCGCCACAACACTTTTTGGCAAACCCAACGGGCCAAATCCTAGGTAGAGCCTCTAATCGCCACTTGGCAACTAGTTAGGTTCCCAAGTCACCAATTTAGCTTCATTGTTCCGCAACCTGGCATAACATAGGTCAGCCAGTATCTTGGTTTTATAGAGTATCCCTCACTAACAAATTTTCTCTTTCAGGTATGGTTATAAATTCTGATAAAATGTAAAATACTGATTGCTTAATGTATACACTATCAAGCTATTAACTATTTGCCCTCTTTTTACAGGCCTACCCGAATGTCGATTTCGGCACACTACAACTGACTTGTGCACCACTAACATAACTCGGCTCAGAGGCGTACCGTATTTTTCGCTCCATAAGACGCACTTTTTTTCCCCTCAAAAGTGAGGGGAAATGTCTGTGCGTCTTATGGAGCGAATGTGAAGAATTACTTACCTGTCTTGGAGCGTGGGCCGGCTTCACAGGGCGCTCCGCGGTCCAGGAACTTCTATTTCAGGTTCCGGTTTCCGGCAGGACTGAAAATAAGTGCACAGTGTGCACACTTCCTTTCAGTCCCGCCGGAAACCGGAACCTAAAATAGAAGTTCCTGGACCGCGGAGCGCGCTGTGAAGCCGGCCCACGCTCCAAGACAGGTAAGTAATTATGGGACAAGGGGAGGGGGAGACACTATGGGACAAGGGGAGGAGACACTATGGGACAAGGGGAGGGGAGGAGACACTATGGGACAAGGGGAGGAGGGGGAGACACTATGGGACAAGGGGAGGAGGGGGAGACACTATGGGACAAGGGAAGGGGTGGAGACACTATGGGACAAGGGGAGACACATGGGGGGAGGGGACACTATGGGAGAAAGGAGGGGAGACACTATGGGACAAGGGGACACTATGAGACAAGGGGAGGAGGAGACACTATGGGACAAGGGGAGGGGGACACTATGGGAGAAAGGGGGGAGACACTGGGACAAGGGAGGGGGACAAGGGGAGGGGACACTATGGGAGAAAGGGAGAGACACTATGGGGAGAGGAGGGGACAAGGGGACCACCATGGGACAAGGGAGAGACACTATATGGGACAAGGGGAGGGGAGGAGACACTATGGGACAAGGGGAGGGGAGGAGACACTATGGGACAAGGGGAGGGGGACACTATGGGAGAAAGGGAGGGGAGACACTATGGGACAAGGGGAGGGGGAGACACTATGGGACAAGGGGAGGGGGAGACACTATGGGACAAGGGCAGGGGGGGACACTATGGGAGGGAAAGTGCACTATGGGACAATGGGAGGGGGGACACTATGGGATCAGAACACTAATGGACAAGGGGAGGAGGGGTTAAAGAACACTATGGGACAGGGTAGGAGGGGTTAACAATCACTATGGGACAGGGTAGGAGGGGTTAACAATCACTATGGGACAGAGGAAACAATCACTATGGGACAGAGGAAAGGGGGGTTAAAGATCATTATGGGACAGGGGAGAAAAAAAAATATTCTGAACAAACTGTCCCATGGTAAGAAACACTATGGAACAGTTTGTTCAGAATATTTTTTTTTCTGGGTTTCCTCCTCTAAAAACTAGGTGCGTCTTATGGTGAGGTGCGTCTTATGGAGCGAAAAATACGGTAATTAGAAACGACAGGACACCGGTGCAAAAACTGCCCTGGCCCCCCCCATACGTCTACCCCCCACCAATCCCCATATGTCTACCCTCTCCCATACGTTGCCACCCCACACATGCAGACAAACAGATTCACATGCAGACACACACATATACAGAGACACACACAGACACACACATACAGACAGACACACACATACAGACAGACACACACATACATACATGCAGACACATACACACACATACATACAGACACATACAAACACCCACACAGACACACATATACAGACACACATACATACATACAAATACACACAGGCAGACATACACACACACATACATACATTCATACACACACACACACACAGACATACAAACACATACATACAGACACACAGACAGACACTCACACATACAAACACACATACATACGCATACATACATACATACACACACACACATATACAAACTCACACACACATATATAGATACAGACAGACATACACACACACACACAGACAGACATACACACACATATACATACATACACATACAAACACACATACATACACACATACAGAGCAACATTCATATAGACACACATACACAAACACACACATACATACAAACAAACACACACATATACAAAATGTTTTAGTCACCCTTTTAGGTGCAGAAGGGGGTCCAGTGGCTCAACCTGATGGGAGTCACAGTTCCCACTCTGACTCCCTCCTCTTCCTCCCCCGCAGCTCCCGGTGTAAGCTGGGAGGAGTGACCGTGGCATACACTTCCTCCCAGTTCTAATGTCATCTCATGGGGCCTGGTCGCTCTGTTAAGGCCCACAGCGCTGACCGCCCCCGCCGCGTGGCCCTGTCGGTTTTACCTCGCAGATGAGCCCAATCGCAGCTGCAACCCCTGCGACCGCGGTAGTTCCGCCTCTGACTCAGCGGTAGTTCCGCCTCTGACTCAGTAGTTCCGCCTCTGACTTATAATACACTCATAAATCATATACAAATATATAAAATGTAAAAAGGGATTCCTCCGTAAACAGGTGATCATCATGACTTGGATGCTTTAGCCTTGATTCACAAACATTTTCCAGTCTTTGTTACCCTGAAGTAAAACTCTGGCCCAATAATATAATCCACAAGGACTTCACTATAAACAGAATTTAAAAAAAATAACCTTGCAGCAAAACTGTAAATTTTAATCTTATTACCAGAGTTACAAAATATCAAGCTAATGCAGCTAAAATGTTAACTGCATCCTGTTACATGTTAGATTAAAAAAAGTTTTTTATTATTTTATTTTGAAGTGCAATTAGTATGCCTCTTAACGTAGAGGAAATAATTTTCACTTTCAAGGTTGTTCCCCCTCCCCTCACCCCCCCGCCTCTATATATCAGCGCAGTATACTGGCAAAATGCAGCCTGCTTTTTATACCCAGACCAGCCCTATGTATGTGCAGTTTCTTATACTGAAATGCTGTACTTACAGATTCCAAGCACCATGACAACTTCAAATTACTGAAGCTGTCCTTGGAGTAACCCTTTAATGTATAATGTTATATAACTAATGGGAACAGGGGGGCATGGGGGCACAGGGACAGGTCTCAGGCTTGAGTACCAGAGCTGAACCTGCTACAGTGTTTGTTCTTCCTACTCCAACAACCCTCAGTAAGTCAGGTGAGGAAACGTTAAATAGCTTTTATATCTCTTTCCAAACACCAGGCAAGACTTAGTGAAGGGAAGAGCAATCTATATTTTTATTGGAGCGTGTATGAGTTTACATAGGAAAACACAAGGGGAGGTAAAAACAACAAACAGTAACAGGACTTGGGAAACTAAGAACAATGGCCTATTTTAATTAAATTACACCCAGCCCCATGGTACCAGAGCAGCACAAAACTAAAATTCAAACACATTTTAGAGCGTAACATTCCGGCAGGATTAAAGGAACACTATAGCGTTGGAAATAATACATGTATTCCAAATGCTACAATGTCCTACTAACTATTTAGGTAATGGCCGCCCCATCCCTACCTGTGTGCAAAAAATATGCATTTTTACGCACATTTTAACACTCCATGCTGCTAGCTGAATTCATCAATGCAATAGAGGATGTGTTGCGCCACTCAAATGCTTTCTATGAGAAGCATTTCATTGAATAAACAAGTCAGTCTCGGTTATTACAGTAGAAACGCCTGTGATGGCTGTCAGGGAGACAACCGCTAGAGGTGTTTAAGCCTGTAATGAAAAAATTACTGTTTCTAAAAACTGACAGTGTTTTACACTGCATGGTTAAAACAACAGGGCCACTGCATCCAGAGCACATCATTGATATGAAGGGGTCTGGGTGCCTTTAGTGTCCCTTTAACCCCTTACATGCTCAATTGGTGTTACAAGCTACATTATACCGTTTATCACAAACTGATATCACACATTGGTCCAGCACATTTAGCTCAACAAAATAACTTCTTTGCATTGACACCAGTGTGCTCAGTAATGGGTCCATCATTTAAAACTACTGCCACTTTCTCTTGAATTAGGCACTTTCACAAATTGGTATTGTTAACCCCCTAAAGCACTTCAACAAGCTTAAAGGAACACTATAGTCACCCAGACCACTTTAGCTCAATGAAGTGGTCTGGGTGCCAGGTCCCCTAGGTTTTAAACCTTCAAATGTAAACATAGCAGTTTCAGAGAAACTGCTATGTTTACATTATAGGATTAATCCAGCCTCTAGAGGTGCTTCTGCAACGCTCAATGCGAAAATCGCATTGAGTATGCAGAACGTCCATAGGAAAGCATTGAGAAATGCTTGCCTATGGGCGTTTTGAATGCGCGCGCAGCTGTGGCCACGCATGCGCATTCGGCTCCACTTGGGAGCTTAAGTCGGAGGGGGAGGAGAGGTCACTAGCGCCGAAGGAGCCCGGTGCTGGATAAAGGTAAGTGGCTGAAGGGGTTTTAACCCCTTCAGCCCAGCGGGAGGGGGGCCACGAGGGTGGGTGGGGGGGCATCAATTTTATATAGTGTAAGGAAAACTAGTTTTTTTCCTGACACTATAGTGATCCTTTAAGTCCTTGGTTAGGGATATCAAAGGCAGAGGGCCAATTAGTTACTTAACCGATTATATCTGTATTGTTTTCATATCATTGCTCTTAGTCTATAATGTAAGCATACTATTCCAGGCTCCATGCCTTAATCGGCTCCTCACTCTTGAGGGAAAACCAAAAATTGGTGTAACACTTGAGGAGGATCACAATGAATCTCAGTAAAGTAAATCCATTCTATTAAAATAGTTCATATATACATACCAGTTAAATTAATGGGGCATCATATCAAGTTCAGATATACATATGTACATATGTATATACATATGTATACTAGAAATGTCAACACTCACATTGCTAGAGGAAGAGCCAAACACAGGGATCTCTCACAAACATATGACCTACATAAACGACACCTGGTGTTACTGTCAAGTGATTCATAAGGTTCTTCCTAAACTCAGAATTTAAAATTTAAAGTCACTCAATGCTCAATTTCAATGTTTAGGATGAAAAAGGATATACTATTCACTAAAGTGAGAATTTCTGGGAATTAGAAGTGAATTTTAAATGTAAAGCCAGTCTAGCCAAACTCTAAACAGAATTGATTTGGAGAGTTTTTCTAATTTGGCTATTTTGATGTAAATTTTAAAATTCACTTTGTATTCCAGCAATTGTTGCTTTAGTAAAAAACCATGCCTATGTTTGTATATTAGGATGATACAGTCCTCTTGCGACATATATGTATATCAACTTACCATAAAGAAACGCTCCCCAAATCACTAGAAAGAACAATATCTTCCTTGCAGGACATCCCTCCATCAGTCCTTCCATGGACTACAGAGAACAGCCTCCTCCTATAATCTTTCCTTGAATTCCTCTTCTTATTCTGTTGTAGTTTAATTTCATCAATAATACCGGATATGTCTAGTTATTTAGTTACTTTTTCCAGGAGACCTATATTGTGTTGTTATATCAAATTCTTATTTCCCACTGCCTCTCAATACATTTATACCGAGCACTATTCCCTTTTCACTGCCCAGATCCAAATAATGTGCCATTTGATCCTCAAAGGATTCATTAACAGGAAGAAGAAAGGTTAATGGAATGGCCCTTATTATATGCGTATTTCATATCCCCCAAGAATCACATTTATGCTTTGGGATCCCATAGCTGTCATCATAGTAACATTTTGTATAATTTCAACCACTTGAAAAAAGGTGTAAAGTTCATTATAGAAAGGTGAAAAAATGGAAATCTAGCAAGGTAACAGAATCAGAAGGTAACACTAGGCTTTTCTTTGCTAACACTAGGCAAATTAAAGGCTCAGGGAGGATGATAAGGATGTGCAGATACAGTTATGGGGAAAAAAAGTATACCCTCTTTAAATTCTATATTTTTACATATCAGGACCTAATAACAATCATTTGTTCTTTAGCAGGTCTTAAAGGGGTAGTTTGGTCACATGAATTTATGTAGATGAAGTTGTTTTAGTGCCTAGAGTATTCCATTAATATTAGGTAAATACAACCTCAGATGAACAACAACACATGACATTACAATATTACACTGTGTCATGATTTATTTAACACAAATATGAGAAACTAAGTACATCTTATGATTCAACAGCTTGTAGAACCACCTTTAGCAGCAAAAGCTTGAAGAAATAATTTTCTCCATGACTTTATTGGTCTCTCACATTGTTGTGGAGGAATTTTGGCCCACTCCTCTTTACAACATTGCTTCAGTACATTGAGGTTTGCTGGTATTTGTTTATGCACATTTCTCTTTTTCTTCATTCTTTGTTTTATTGAGACAAAACTCTGAACATACAGATGTCGTATAGAATGCATAGACAATCAAGAATGGACATAAACAAGCATAATATGCACAGCAACAATTGAGAAAGCCGAACGGAATCGACGAAATGCGTTTTGGACACACCACCACTGCGTATGTATTATATTTGATATTTTAAAAGATTTTTGGATAGAATAAATATAATTTTTTAATCAGAACATACCATCTGGTGGACCATTTATCCTGATACAAGAAGAGCAGAGTCACCCTAGAACAGGACTCATACACTCATATACGTAGAGCCAAGTGACAGGCTCTTTTTAAGGTGAGAAGCAACCTGTATACCTTTGTATTATACCATATTTGATTAAGGATTTCTGCACCAGGGCAAGTTTGCCTGTCTCTCTTCCCTCCTTTTTCTGTTTACATGTCTCTGAGGAATATCCTATACGTGGATTCATAGGGTGTGTGCCACCTCAAATGCACAACGGCGCAAGTGATTAGAGCCCTATACCATTTTGGGAGTAAGTAATTCACCTTCAGCGCTACACACTTTCACTAATTTGACACTTGTTTGTTAAAATAGTGTTTTCTTTTGTACAATATTGTAATAGGATTAGAGAGTTCCTATTTTTGTGTGAAAGCTGCTACATCAAAGAGCACCTCTATATCACAGGCATTTGCCAAATCACTCAGATAGTTCAGTTCAATCAACAAGAGGTAGGTGATCTGATCTAGCCGGCACTCGCATTGGTGGTCCCCGAATATTGTGCGCCCTGATGCTAAAGCAGGAGGTTTTTTGGTATAGGCAGGACACGCTGGGATCACAGAGACTCGTGGTGGTGAGGTACGGCTGTTTGCATCTGCAGCGCTCGCCTGGGAACACATGGGGTACTTTTCATCATGTGGCGTCAGGCATCGGGACGACTCTGGGATGTCACAGTTTGGACCACTTAGATAGTTCTTTATAGAGAGAAGAGGCTCTCTACTGGCAACACTTGTTCAGTCGTTTTATAATTGTACTTTCATGATTCTGAACTTTAATATTTAACTTGCTGAGGCCTGTAGAGTTTGAGATATAACGCTTCATTTTTTTACAATTTCTCTGAGCATTGCATGGTCTGAATTTGCTGGGATGTCCACTCCTGTGAAGAGTGGCAGCTGTCTTGAATGTTTTCCACTTTTGAACAATCTTTCTCACTGTAGAATTGTAGCAGGGCTGCAATCCTGAGACTGAATATCTCAGCCGAAATTCTCTCGAGCTGGAACAAAGCGCTGTTTAGTGGATATAGTCCTTTCCTCCAGTAACTGGACGATGACACACTGGGAGTACAACTGGTTTTTATTCAACAGGATTGATCTTTTATTCACAAATCCCATACACAGGGTCTCCAAGGTGTGCATAAGTGCCCGCCCAGGTGCCTCTGTGTCTGGGAGATAACTGAGTTGCTGACCGCTAAACTAATTATCTCCCAGATACAAAGTACCTAACACAAAAACAGACCCAAAATACAATAAAAACACACAGGAACCCCACATATCATACATCCCCAGATAGCTCTCATTCAGGCACCCAAGTTGGCAAAATAGCGTCTGGATCAATGAAGAATTATTCATTTACCACCAGGGTAAAGTTTTGACCAGCCTCACACGAGAACTAAGCCCAAAATAGATCCAGCTAAATTGTATCTGGGGCCGGTCAAATAGCGGGAGCTCCTGCGGTTAAATGGAAGGGGGCTCCCTCTGGATCTCAGGAAGTGATTGTTCCTATAAGTCTGTAGTACCCTCCCTCCAAATAACGCTCTCCTGTGAGGTCAGCAAGGGGATCATCCCACTGGGTCAAGATTATCGGGAGCCGCAAAGTCATATAATTGAGTTTAGTTTCATAGCGTTTGTGGTTAAGTACTGCTGTAGGCTGTTCATTAGTTTATGAATGGCAGAAAGGGGCTTTCGGTAATACGTTCATGAGAAAAGAAGGTACCAAACCAGGGGGACCGGGAACAGCTCTTTTCGGAACAAAGTTTATGTAATAGAACAGGGTTTGCCACAAGAATGATGTACTGTAAATGGTTTGGAAATGCCTTATAACCATTTCCAGATTGATGGACTGCAACAGTTAAGGATTATTCTAGTTTAGTGACCAAATAATCTAAATTTTATTAAAGACAGGAGGCGAATAATTGCTTATCTTTCTTTACTGAAACCTCCAGCAGCAAAGAAACAGTTAACAATAGATAAATAAAAATCAACCAATCAGAGAGCATGACAGTAGTATGTATTGTAATCAGGCTCCTCCCAACTCCTCTTTCTTGATGCTTCTGAATCGCAGTAGAGTCAACCATGAAATTATAACAGGAAACAACAGGTAAATGCAGTCAAATAGTCAACCAGGTAAACTATGAACCGAAGAGAGATCCATGTAATAAAGTGGATGGATTTTCACACTGGAAAGAGACATTGTAAAAGTATGGTTTATTGGTACAAGAAAAAAACAATACAATGTCCTAGTTCGTAGGTTAGATATAAAATCCTGATAGAGCTAACGCCTATGTTAGTAAAACATAGCTAATGTACTAATATACGAAGAAATCAAAATAGATTTAAATAGGTAAGACTAATGTATTAGTACTCTAATTAAACCAAATAGAGTTAAACAGGCAAGGTTGGCTATAGGTAACAATATAAGGTCTTGTGTCATAAATGGCTTAAAATGCAACAGGACAAATAGAAATCTGTAAACAAATGTGTTAAAGTGGTTTAGAAACAAATAGCTTAGGGTGGGAAGAGCAGAAGGGAGGGAAAATATTCGCCTCCTGTCTTTAATAAAATTTAGATTATTCGGTCACTAAACCAGAATAATCCCTAATTTTATGGCAAGACAGGAGACTTCATATTTGCTGTTTTAAATCTGATAAATCATAGATAGAGAAGCATGGGACACAGGTCTGAAATGGAAGGTCCGGAAAGTAGCTTCCCTAGACCAATCTGCTGAGGATAAGATGTCGGTCAGAGAACCTCTTGCGCCCAAGCCAGAAGATGCAGCCGCACCTCGGACTGAATGAGCACCAAAAGCGGGGTCAATCCCTGCTAGAGTGAGTAGCCACCTAATCCAATGGGCAATAGTCAGGCAGGAGACTGGTTTATGAGGTCAGACATATGACATGAATAGAGGACCCGAGGGTGCTCTGAGTGGAGCCGTAAGAGAGATGTATTGGTGAACGTATTGAGCCAAGCAGAGTGAAGGTCTTTCCGGAAAATTGGGATAGAAAACCGATGACGAACTAACTTTAGTCCAAATCCGTCCGGGGCAAAAGCAACTGAGTGGAAATCGAAAGCTCAGATTTGGATTTGCCTTGATCATACAGGGATGAGAGGACATTCAAAATGTGTGTGAGAGATGCTGAAACTGGATCAGTGTTCCTTCCAACACACCAGCGGACCCAAATCTGCCAAGCGGAGATGTAGGCTTGTCGAGTCCCATAAGAGTGATTGAGCTGTGTTCGAAAGTCCTGTCACATGGCAGGATCCCCTGAAATGGTACAGGCTATGAGCCGTAGATGACCCTGAAGAGCGAGTGGATGAAATTCTCCTGCTGGATTTTGGAGTAGATCCTGACAATGAGGCAACAGCAGAGGGAGGTCTACTGACATCTTAGGTTAAAGGATCTTAACATGTATAGCTTGGAGGAAATACGAGACGGGGGGATATGATAGAAACATTTAAATATATAAAGGGAATCAACACAGTAAAGGAGGAGACTATATTTAAAAGAAGAAAAACTACCACAACAAGAGGACATAGTCTTAAATTAGAGGGACAAAGGTTTAAAAATAATATCAGGAAGTATTACTTTACTGAGAGGGTAGTAGATGCATGGAATAGCCTTCCAGCTGAAGTGGTAGAGGTTAACACAGTAAAGGAGTTTAAGCATGCGTGGAATAGGCATAAGGCTATCCTAACTATAAGATAAGGCTAGGGACTAATGAAAGTATTTTGAAAATTGGGCAGACTAGATGGGCCGAATGGTTCTTATCTGCCATCACATTCTATGTTTCTATGTTTCTATCTCCAGGAGGGTTGGGAACCATAACTGTGCTTGCCATAATGGCATTATTAGAACTATCTGGACACCCTGAACTCATAGAAGGTTGGAGAGTACATGAGATCATGGAGAAGGGGGGGAAGCATACGCCCCCGTCATCGGCCAGATTTGGAGAAATGCATCTACCGCCAGGGAGAGTGGATCTGGTAGCCAACTGAAGTAGGTGACCGTCTGATGATTCAGATGAGACGCGAAGAGATCCATGTTGAGTGGTCCACGTAATAGATGAATGCTGTGGAAGATCTGTGGATTCAATTGCCAGTCACTTGGATCCCTCCAACTTCTGGAGAACCAGCGACTAGATTGTCGGGACCTGGTAGGTATTCTACATGAATGGACAGATTCCTCGATAGGCAGAACTGATATGGTGATGTTTTGTGATGTCAGAGAGGTGTTTGGAACAGGATCCCCCGAGGTGGTTCACATAAAGGACCGCGGATATGTTGTCCATTCGTAGTACATGTCTTTTGCGGAAGCTGCGGATCACAAAGGAGCCTGCGATAAGCTCCAAACAGTTGATATGGAGTGCTTGTGCCGCAGGGGACCAAAGGCCTCCAGTTGAAATTTCGGAGCATGTTGTTCCCCATCCCAGAAGACTGGCATCTGACTCCTGAATAAAATCTGGTTGAGAGCTGAATATGGCTTTTCCGTTCCAGGTGTCCATGTTATGGAGCCACCAAAGAAGTTCCAGCCGTACTTTGTTTGCTAAATAAATTATTTGGTCATATGAGGTGGATCGATGTAGGTAAAAAGTCTTCAAGCGTTGCATTGCTCGATAATGCAGTGGTCCCCGAAAGATGGCTTGTATGGAATCTGAGAGGAGACCGATCATGTGTGCGAGATCTCGTAGGTGAATGTCTTGAGTGGACAATAGTTTCCGAATGTCCTTTTTTATGGCTCTGATCTTGAATGAAGGTAGTTGAAGGATAGCTTGTATGGAGTCTATCTCAAATCCAAGAAATTGCACTGTTTGTGAGGGTTCTAGAGCGGAGTTTGGAAAATGTATGATAAATCCTAGATTTTGGAGTAGTGCGGAGGTCATGTCCATTTGGTGACGCAGAGTCTGCCGATCTTTAGCCATGATTAGAATGTTGTCCAAGTAAATGATGGACCGAATTCCTTGCAAGTGGAGTAGAGCCATAACTAGTTTCATCAACTTGGTGAAACTCCAAGGGGTGGAACAAAGGCTGAAGGGGAGGCAGGTGAACTGCCAAATGTCTTGTAGCCAATGGAATTGGAGAAAAGGACGATGTTTTTGAGCGACCAGCAGTGAGGCATGTGTCCTTGAGATCGAATCGGGAGAACCAGTCTCCCATGCAGAGGAGATTGCATAGAAGATGGATGCCTTCCATCCTGAAGTGCCGATACATGATGTGTTGGTTCAGGTCCCTCAGATAACTGGACGGAAAACTCCCGTCTTCTTGCGGACCAGAAACATATTGCTGATGGTCTTTCAGTCAAATTTACTAATACTAAGTAAAAATGACCACAGAATTGTATAGTGTTCGTTTGGCAGACTTCTGCAATAAAGAAAATATATAGTATTAATAATACATGGTGATGGATTGGAGTAGAGGAAATACACTATTAAATCTGAAATAAGAACTTACCTGATCGCTAGACAAGGAGCAGGCAGAGCTTGCAACCGTCCTGTAGTATTCTGCACTTTACGAATGGCAAAAAGGCAGGAAAGTGCCACGTGAGCGTAAGATGGCCACCGCAAACAAAAAAGAGCGGGAAAAGCCTTCGCCTCACAAAATGAAGCATACGAATGGGCCGGTTGGACTCCTGACAGTCTAATGTGATGGCTGCAGGGGTTAAGCCTGGAATGAGTGTAAAAATGCAGCCGCTGACTAGCGCGGTGGCAGTGGGGCTCCAGAGAGGGAGCAGGCTAGCATGGCGGCAGTGGAGTTCCAGAGGGGAAGCAGGCACAATATGTAGAGTGCCAGAGCACATCAGAGGATAGGGGATCAGTATAACTGCCAAACAGTAAAAGTGGATGGACAATGATTTAACAAGTACTTATAGGTAGTTAGTTGAAGGTGTAGAAGGAAAAACAAATATAATATAATAAAATCTAAGATGACAAATATATCATAAATGAATAAAAGTCAAAATGTAGGAGACTATAATTAGAATAGACTCACCTGGAGGCAAGCAGCAAAGAAAGAGGAGTTGGGAGGAGCTTGATTACAATACATACTACTGTCATGCTCTCCGATTAGTTGATTTTTATTTATCTATTGTTAACTGTTTCTTTGCTGCTGGAGGTTTCAGTAAAGAAAGATAAGCAAATAGGAAGCCTCCTGTTTCTCTAAGATCATTGCTGATGTCTTTCATCCTTGGCATTGTGTTAAAAGCCTAAATGTTTCAGACCAGCAAACTGCTAAAACATCTACTTTTATAGAGGCGGTCACACTTGCTGATGATCAATTAATCAAGGGCATTTTATTAGCATCACGTGTCTGCTACTTAACCTCTTAGTTCCTATGGTAGCAGTAAGGGTATACTTAGTGTATGAAACATAATTTAATATGAATAAAATATTTTTAAAAATAGGGAAAAATAAGAATTTTAATTTTTTTCTAGTTCTATGGGACATTCTAACTGTGAATGTCATAATACTGTTTGCTCTTATTGCAATAAAATACACATATTTGTATTCAGCGATGTCTCATGTGTAAAACGGTACCCCCATGTACAGGTTTTATGGTGTTTTGGGAAGTTACAGGGTCAAATATAGCATGTTACATTTTTCAGTTTTTTCACATTGAAATTCGCCAGATTGGTTACGTTGCCTTTGAGACCGTATGGTAGCCCAGGAATAAGAATTACCCCCATGATGACATACCATTTGCAAAAGTAGACAACCCAAGGTATTGCAAATGGGGTATGTCCAATCTTTTTTAGTAGCTACTTGGTCACAAACACTGGCCAAAGTTAGTGTTAATATTTGAAAATGCAAAAAAATAATTTGCCAATTTTGGTCAGTGTTTGTGACTAAGTGGCTACTAAAAAAGACTGAACATGCCCCATTTGCAATACCTTGGGTTGTCTACTATTGCAAATGGTATGCCATCATTGGGGTAATTTTCATTCCTGGGCTACCGTACGGTCTTAAAGGCAACATAACCAACCTGGCGAATTTCAATGTGAAAAAACTGAAACGCAAGCCTTATATTTGACTCTGTAACTTTTGAAAACACCATAAAACCTGTACATGAGGGGTACTGTTATACTCAGGCGACTTCGCTGAACACAAATATTAGTGTTTCAAAACAATAAAATACAGTTAGAATGAAATTATACATGTATATTTTTTATATATTTATTTTTTATTTTTTGAAATTTTATTTTTTAAGGTATTTACATATTTGTTTATTTTATATTATGTATAAATATATAAATAATGATAATTATATATATATATATATTTAGTCCATATCATTGTGCGTGTACTTTGATATGAATATATATATATATATATATTAATATTAAAATACACTTAGACAGTGTATTTATGTGTATGTGTGTATATATGTATATATATATATATATATACTTAGATCATATATATAATAAGCATATATATATATATATATATATATATAATCTAAGTATATATTATTTAATTTTACACTGTTTTAACATTTATTTTATTTATTTCAGACAGCAGGGGGAGTACCTGTCATTACAGGCACTGCCCCTGCTGGCAATGCCTTAGACAGCTATGCCGTCCATGTGATCGCTAGGTCCTCGCAAGGACCTCGTGATCACATGGCCCAGAGGGGCTGAAGAGGAAAGAGGGGGACTCCCTGGGCTCCCAGGTAAGTCCCCATACCACGATCGCCGGCGTGGGATCGCCGGAAACCTGGTAAGTACATAGGATGCAGCGTTTAGAGCCACTTTCTTAAGGGCGGCATAGAATGTCCCACGGTCTTAATGGGTTAAAGACTAACAGTAAAGTCTGAATGGCCATGCTATGGGTGTGGGTATATCTACTAAACAGTGACTGTAATTAAAAAAATAAAAATAATAATGACTGGGCAGCCATTAAAAAAAGCATGTGAATGATAATTTGCGAACATGCATCCTGCTGGATTCAGGTCTGTTTTTTTTTAAAACGATCCTGTGTTTACTGAATTACCCTAAAAGTGTAATCTATGTTGTAATATAATCTGGTAATTAAATACCTTACTGTCACATAGAATCTCTTCAAATTTTCTGAAACAGGATCTGTAGAGTTGCCATTGGTATACAGTGAGGGAAAAAGGTATTTGATCCCCTGCTGATTTTGAACGTTTGTCCACTGACAAAGAAATGATAAGTCTATAATTTTAATGGTAGGTGTATTTTAACTGTGAGAGACAGAATAACAAACAAATAAAAAATAAAGAAAAATGCATGTCAAAAAAGTTATAAATTGATTTGCATGTCAATGAGTCAAATACATATTTTATCCCCTATTAATCAGCAAGATTTCTGGCTCCCAGGTGTCTTTAATACAGGTCTTTTATACAAGTAACGAGCTGAGATTAGGGGCACTCTCTTTAAGGGCTTGTTACCTGTATAAAAGACACTTGTCCACAGGCCAATCAATCAGATTCCAAACGCTCCACCATGGCCAAGACCAAAGAGCTGTCCAAGGATGTCAGAGACAAGATTGTAGACCTACACAAGGCTGGAATGGGCTACAAGACCATTGCCAAGCAGCTTAGTGAGAAGGTGACAACAGTTGGTGCGATTATTCGCAAATGGAAGAAACACAAAATAACTGCTTCCCTCTGTCTGGTGCTCCATGCAAGATATCACCTTGTGGAGTTTCAATGATCATGGGAATGGTGAGGAATCAGCCCAGAACTACATGGGAGGATCTTGTTAATGATCTCAAGGCAGCTGGGACCATAGTCACCAAGAAAACAATTGGTAACACACTACCCTGTGATGACTGAAATCCTGCAGCGCCCGCAAGGCCCCCCTATTTAAGAAAGAACATGTACAGGCCCGTCTGAAGTTTGCCAATGAACATCTGAATTAGACATGTGTATGTTTCGTTCCGAATGTACATTCAGATGAATTTCGTGAAATTCAGACATTCGGGTGCTTACGAATGTCCGAAGTTCGAATTTCCAAAGTGCCGAACTGAACTAGGGGTTAGGCTTTAAGGGGTAGGGGTTACAGGTAGGGGTAGGATACGGGTTAGGGATTAGGGTTAGGGTCTGAATTGCCAAAGTGCCAAATTGCCGAAGTATAGAATTGCTGAAGTCCCGAATTTCTGAAGTGCCGAACCAAACTGAATGCCATTGGTTCAAATTGCCGATGCAGACAAAACAAATTTCTTACCTGAATTTCCGAACCAAAACATTTTTTTTCCCATGCACATCCCTAATCTGAATGATTCAGAGGAGAACTGAGTGAAAGTGTCGTGGTCAGATGAGTCCACAATCAAGCTCTTTGGCATCAACTCAACTGTTTGGAGGAGGACGAATGCTGCCCATGACCCCAAGAACACCATCCCCACCGTCAAACATGGAGGTGGAAACATTATGCTTTGGGGGTGTTTTTCTGTTAAGGGGACAGGACAACTGCACCGCATCAAAGGGACAATGGACGGGGCCATGTAGCCACAAACCTTGGGTGAGAACCTCCTACCGTCAGCCAGGTCATTAAAAATGGGCTGTGGATGGGTATTCCAGCATGGCAATGACCCAAAACACACAGCCAAGGCAACAAGAGAGTGGCTCAAGAAGAAGCACATTAAGGTTCTGGAGTGGCGTAGCCAGTCTCCAGACCTTAATCCCATGGATAATCTGTGGAGGGAGCTGAAGGTTCGAGTTGCCAAACGTCAGCCTGAAAACCTTTAATAACTTGGAGAGCATCTGCAAAGAGGAGTGGGACAAACCTGGTGGCCAACTACAAGAAACTTCTGACCTCTGGGATTGCCAACAAGGGTTTTGCCACCAAGTACTAAGTCGAAGGGGTCAAATACTTATTTCACTCACTGACATGCAAATCAATTTATATCTTTTTTTTTTTTTTACATTTTTTATTTTTGGATGACAAGCATTATTCATATACATCAGTCATGGATTCGGTCACAATTTATGTGTAACATTAAGGTAACCATATATTACATGTAAGACAATACGCACAGCTCAGTTGGTCTCAGTATTACTATACTTAGTTTAGCATTTTTGAGAGGAAAAAGGGAGGGGAGGGGGAAACTCCTCCCATCCCCTCCACGAAGTGCATTACATGTTGCGTCAGATGTCTGTCTATATTCAGATTGTGGGCAATATGCGTCTCATCTTGGTCCTGGGACACACTAGGACATGGTTCCATTTGTCTGCCAGCGTCTACTTAAATGCCCTCGCCATATTACTACCTGAGCACCCCCTCGAGTGTGGGGGTCGAAAAGACTAAAAGCAAGAGGAAAGAATAGATAGAACAAGAAAAGCCAAGAAAAGGGAGAGAACAGTATAAGGGGGGGACAAGGGGGAGGGGAAGAAAGGGGGGGAGGAGGGAACGACAGCCAAATCTTACTAATTGCTCAGCGGGCTACACTCCCACGGTTCCTATATTTTCTGGAATTTGTTCCTGGTTCCCCTAACCTTTGCTGTCAGATCGTCCATTAAGTATACTTCTTTGATTCTGGTAATTTATAACTTTTTTGACATGCATTTTTTTTTGTTATTCTGTTAAAATACACCTACCATTAAAATTATAGACTGATCATTTCTTTGTCAGTGGGCAAAAGTTCAAAATCAGCAGGGGATCAAATACTTTTTCCCCTCACTGTATAAGCAGGATACACTATGTTAGAATAGCATGTCTCTTAAATGTCACAGGTCCAGTAGGATGGCCCCAAATTAGGATCCCCTCCCAGATGAGTGACACCATGTCCACAATTAGAGCAGTGTGAGTGCTGAGTAACCACATCCCATGCTTAGACTGCTTCAGAAATGCTCAGTGCATGGGCTGCTGTAAAAGGATCACCCAGACTGCATTTCAGTCAACATGTCTGTCATGCACGCACGCATGCAGGCTGAAATGCCAACATTTTTTAATGTGCCTTACCCTATACGAGATGAGCCCACCTCTCCTTTCTGCCCTCTGTTGGCTGGCCCATCCTTAATCCTAAATACCATAATATACAAGGAATCAAAGTGAGAACATTCTATTAAATTTATGTATTGACAATGTGTTTTTTTTTTTTATAAGACTCATGCATAGGAACAGTAATTTTCTTTGCAGGTGTGCAGTCTGTGTTAAAAATAATAACTGGTACAAATTTGTGCAACGGGTGATGGAATCTTTTCCATCTCAGTATCTATTAAATCTGATCCACAATTTAAATGCTTACAGGCCTTGTATACTAAACATGTATTGATTGACTGAAGTAATAGTTTATTGTGATGCTAAGTATGACTGTACAAATGCTCATGAACTGTCTTAGCATTCTGATGCACTGCCAAGGAAAACATTGTTCAGATCAGGAGCTAAATATAAACAAGATTGAGAACAAGCTCTACAGTACAGCAACCCAGGGGACCTTTGAATTATACTAACCTAAAATAAATGTAAGGTAGAATGAACAAAAAAAAAAAAAAAACGCAATGAGAACAGGCCTTTTTTTAGTTTAATTTGTTTTATTCTATCATTATCAAACATATAAGCCTGATCCAATAGTCAGCCCACAGTATGGATGCCAACCTCAAAGTTCATGCTGATAAATGACTGCCTGAGGGCAAAGGCATCATGGGCACTCTTAGAGGAGTCTGCCGCCACCCTGATAAACTGTATTTTAGGATTCCAAATGAGCTGGTAATTGATGGATTGATTAATTTGTTTTTCCTCATCATATGGACCAACATTGGCTACATACTATAGACTATAGGACCCATCACATTGGGAATGCTTCTACTGGTGTAGTCATACTGTGTCTCTCCTGTTATGTGTAGTTAAGATATATGAATCTGGGAGGTCATTTTCCTTAACACTTGTGGAATACAATAAATATTTTGCTCTATGGCGGCATATAGTTGGAGGATGCTTGTAGATATAAGGTGATGAATACCTATTAACTTTTATGGTAGCCCATCATGCATTGCACTACTTTCCTCAGTAGATTACACAGCATAAAAAGGGATGCAATCAGAGCAAGTTTCAGGTTCACTTAGAACACTTCAGACAATCAGAGGTCCTCTTGATACATACTTATGATCAACAGGTATCCCTTCATAATAATACATCACTTCAAATGGTTCTTAAACTTAATGTTTGCTGGGTACTTCACATTCCCTTATTAATGTGATGACTTGATAGTGCCCTTGCATTGAGGTAAACATATATTTAAAAGTATATGTACACCATGCTTTATTCAATAAAGGGAAATTGGAAAAAGTGAGTCACTTACTGGAAGGTAAGGCTTTTGAGTCTTTGGATATTTGCCATTGAATCAATAAAAATATTACAGGCAGCTGGCAAAGACCATGGTTTCATAATTGTAATCATCTTAACCCCTTAGTGACCAGAACGCTTTTCAATTTTCTTACCGTTTGGGACCAGGGCTGTTTTTACATTTCTGCGGTATTTGTGTTTAACTGTAATTTTCCTCTTACTCATTTACTGTACCCACACATATTATATACTGTTTTCCTCGCCACTAAATGGTCTTTTTAAAGATGTCATTATTTTGATCATATCCTATCATATAATTTACTATAAAACCAATTATAAAATATGATGAAATTGTTTTTTAAAAACACACCTTTTCTAACTTTGACCCCCAAAATTTGTTACGCATCTACAACCGCCAAAAAAAACACCCATGCTAAATAGTTTCTAAATTGTGTCCTGAGTTTAGAAATACCCAATGTTAACATGTTCTTAGCTTTTTTTTTTTTTTGCAAGTTATAGGGCAATAAGTACATAGCACTTTGCTATTTCAAAACCATTTTGTTCCTCAAAATTAATGCAAGTTACATTGTAACACTGATATCTGTCAGGAATCCCCGAATAACCCTTCACATGTATATATTTTTTTTGTAAAAGAAGACAAACTATGGTATTGAACTTGGGGTATTTTCACTCTTTTCATGCAACCATTTTACCACCAATCTATGCCAAATTAAAAAAAAAATAAACAATTGGTGATTTTTGTGACACACGTAGCAGTTTAAGAATACATGTACTGAGAACTTTAAGGGTTACTGAAAAAGAACACCCCAATATGTGTTCAGCAACATCTCCTGAGTACAGTAATACCAACCATGTATAGGTGTGTCGGGTTCTCTGGGAGCTAAAAGACCTTATTTGGAGAGTGCTCATTCCAGTTTTCCAACTTGGAATTTTTTACAGCTGGTCATCATGCACCCATGTCCTATTTGAGACACTTTTGAAGCTGGCCAATGTAATGTTACCCCCATCAAACCATATATATTTTTAAAATAGACAACCCACGGTATTTAAAATGGGGTATGTCCAGTCTTTTTTAGTAGCCAGTTAGTCACAAACCCTGTCCAAAATTAGCGTTTATATTTGTTATTTTGCATTTTTTACACATAAACTGCCATTTCACCAATGATATTATCAGTATAAAACATTTTACTGCTCTAAAACACTCATATTTGTGTAGAGTAATGTATCACGAGTACAACAGTAGCTCTCAAGTATAGGTTTTATGGTGATTTGAAAAGTTACAGGGTCCAACATAAGATTTGTTAATTTCGTTTTTGGAAATTGCTATTTACCAGATTGGCTATGTTGCCTTTGAGACGGTATGGCAGCCCAGAAATGAAAATAAATCCCACCGTGACATACTATTTGAAAAAGTAGACAGCCCAGGGCAGGGGCGTACCTAGAGCATTTGGCACCCGGGGCAGATCCCGTGCTTGGCACCCCCACCTCCCAAAAAAAATAAATCTGTAAAAAATGTTAAATGTGGGGGCGTGGCCTGGACACCGGCGGGAGAAGTCGCATGTAAACGCAGCTCCGCGTCCCACAGCCTAACCTGAGCAATTGCCACACAATACTATGGCACAATAGACCTAAAAACTCCAATGTCTCACCCAAAAACGAAGCGGCAAACAGAGAAGGCGGACAAGACACAGTTCTTTGCCCCAAAGCAGGGCGCACAACGGGACTCACTGCAGACGGCGGGAATCCAAGATGGCGCCGGCGCCGAAGACAGCAACGAGGCAGCTCACTGTGCGCCTAATGTTCAGGGGCTCCTGACCCAGCAAATAATGCAGAACACGTTGGACGAAATGTCCGCAAAAATAATGAAGAGTGTGCAGGCATCCATAGGAGAGCTGCGCAAAGACCTGGGAGGCCTCGGTTCCAGAACCTCAAAACTGGAAGAAAAGATGGCGGGCACTGAGGAAGCGCATAACGACCTTGCAGACAGGCTGTTGCAGGTGTCAGAGCGCTTGGCGGCGCAGGAGGTAAAAATAGCCGACATGGAAGACCGGAGCCGGCGAAACAATTTACAGCTGAGGGGGGTGGCAGAGACTGTGGGCATAAATGACCTGACAGCACATGTCACGGCCTACCTAAAGTCACTAGTGCCAGATATCCCACAAAACATGCTCCTCTTTGACCGCATCCACAGGACGGCGAGACCCAAGTTCCTGCCCCAAGATGTCCCCAGAGACATTCTGGTGCGTATGCACTACCATCACATTAAAGACGCCATTCTAAAAAACAGTAGAACCCGCAAAGAGCTTCCTGAAAAATACCGGGACATTATGCTTTTCGCAGACGTCTCAGCGTTCACCCTACAAAACCGTAGGGAGTTCCGAGACATCACAGCGGCACTCAGAGAGAACCGAATCGCATATCGCTGGGGATATCCAGTTAAACTGCTGGTGCAGAGGGCAGGCAAGACAGCTGTAATATCAAGCCCAGAAGAGGGAGCTGACATACTGCGAGAATGGGGCTTAAGAAGAGAATCCCAGAAGAACCTATCTACAGAGCCAAGAAGATTAACTCCAGAGTGGAAAAAAGCGAAACACACATAGACTGTAACGCGTGACGCCCGGGTGGGCCAAAAGTCACGGACGATGTGGTGCCGCAAGTATAAAACTCAAGTGAAATATTTATGTCATATGTCAGAGCCAACAATTGAGGGATTGTATAGGTCCAGGGGTACTCCATGTGCGAAATGTAACAGAGGAGGTGGAAATAGTAAAGCAGGGCACAAGGAGATATATATTTAGAAGAAAAAAAAAAGGGATAAGCGAGTTCATAGCGGAGAGGATTGAGATCCCTGGGAGGGGTAAAAGACTAATCGCATAGGATACAACACAACAGTATAAAAGCAAAAAAGGGGAAGAAAAAAAAAAAGGGATAAGCGAGTAAATAGCGGAGAGGATTGAGACCCCTGGGAGGTGTAAAAGACAAATCGCATAGGTTACAACACAACGGCATAAAACAAAACAAAAAGAATAATAATAAAAAAATAAATAAAAATAAAATATACATACAACAATAATTAACAATAATAAAAAGGGTAAATGGGAGACACCATATGCAATTAAGCCATAGCAAGAAAGGCTGGCGCGCAGCGTATCTCCCCCCAAGGAACAGAAGCTAGAGGCTTCTACCCCCGTGGCACTTAGATGAAGTGCCTCGCCACGGACAGGGCATGGTTAAATCTTGTATATACTTTTTTGTTTGGTTTAGTTACTACGTTATTCCACCCATTGAGAGATGGTCTGTGGCCCCTACCAATGGCGAGCATGTTTGGGACTAAGTGGGGGGGTTCCACCTTTTATAAGCACAAAACACACACCTTCTATACAGGAAGTGAAGGAATACGACCCAACTCTCACCGGAATACCTGTGAGAGGTTGTCACAGTCCCCAGGGGAAGGCCTGCTCTGCTGGATGGCGCTGGGAGGAGCGAGGCACTCCGCAACAAAAGAACACTCTCAATACACAGCACAACCCTTTATGTTAGACCCTATATGAGGATATACACACATAATGTAAGGGGATTGAATATCCCAGCAAAAAGACACTTATTAAACCGAGAACTTAGGAAACACCAAGTAGACGTTGTCTGCCTACAGGAGACACATTTCCGTGCAAACGACCACCCAAAAATTATGGAGGTAGACTATCCACACCAATTCCACTCTACTTCCCCAACTAAAGCAAAAGGAACATCTATTCTGCTCAGCAAAAATGTCTCCTTCTCCCTAAAATCGCAAAACCTAGACCCAATGGGCAGATATGTGGTGATAGTGGGAACGATAAACGACATGACGTACACAATTGCAAACATATATGCGCCCAACCAAAATCAAAGAAACTTCCTACACAAGATACTTACAATCCTGACACCAATACAACAAGGCATAACACTAATCTGTGGCGATTTCAACCACATCTTCGACACGACCATAGAAACAACCCTCAAAAGTGCTAGTAGTAAATACCAAACCCTTAGACGACAAAGCAAAGCCCTCCAGACCCTAATACATAAGTACCATTTTTACGACACATGGAGAATCACGCACCCCACGGAAAAAGCATTCACGTATTTCTCACACGTTCACAACTCCTACTCTAGAATAGCTGGGTATCTCCTCCAAGGCTCCCACATCGACCAAATCCTAGCATGTACTATAGCACAAATCACATGGTCAGATCATGTTCCGGTGCTCCTGGAGATGAAAGACCTCTATGATTTTAAATATCGGAGCCCTTGGAGAGTCAACGATTCTCTCCTCCATGACCCACAATTCGAGGCCGACCTATCTACACAACTGCAGCATTACTTTATAGAAAATGAGACACCAGACGTCTCATCCACCACGGTCTGGATTGCCCACAAGTCGGTGGCGAGAGGACTGTTGATTAGAAGGGCCTCATACCTCAAAAAGAACGCCCAAAAGCAAACACTGGAGCTACAAAAAGAATTACATGACATAACACTACAAAACCAACTCTCCCCCACAGACGACAAATGCAGACGCATACTCCAACTCACCAGGAGTCTGCACACGCAGGCCTTGGCACAAACGGAGCACAACCTCAAACGATTGAAAATCAATCAATACGCCCAAGGTAACAAGGCAAGTAAATTACTAGCGAACAGGCTTCGGGAGAAACAGGCAGCGCAAAAGATAGCGTACCTCACTGCACCAACGGGAGCAAAACTCATTACCCCAAAGGCCATAAGCGATGAGTTTGCGCGCTACTATACAAAACTCTATAACCTACACCAAGACCCAGCGGCCCCACAACCAACAGAGAGAGACATACAGGCATATCTGAGACACACGCACTTGCCCCGACTTACGACCCAACAACAATTAGAACTTATAAAACCACTATGTGAAGAGGAACTTCTAGCTGTAATAAAGACTCTCCCGTCAGGCAAAGCACCGGGACCAGATGGGTTAGATAACACATACTACAAAAAGTTCAGTGGCATTTTAGCACCATACCTAGTCAAAGCCTATACACAAGCCACTCTCCACAAAACCTTGCCCCCAGAAATGTTAACAGCACACATCGTCTACCTCTTTATCCAACAAGAAGGACTGCAAAGACTACTGGAGGCAGACATCCGCCCCACTCCATGGTCGGACCATAGCACAGTATACATGCGCATGGAATCACCCCTATACAGACCTACCCGGACCGTATGGCGCTTAAATGAACTACTCCTCTCCGACGTACCGACGCAGGCACAACTAGTGGAACAACTGAATAACTATTTCACTGAAAACGACACTGAAGAAACCTCCGCACTGACTCTGTGGGAGGCCCACAAAAGCGTCCTCAGGGGGCTACTTATCCGGATATCAGCGCAGAAAAAGAGAGAAGCACAACGACAAATGACGGCACTAGCGGAACAGATAGCAACGCTGGAAACGCTGCACAAGAGGACCCGACAGGAGGAGCATTACCGCACTCTTTTGACCCTCAGACGGCAACTGTTGGACCTGATAGCCCGCAAACACCACAGGTCGATCCAGAGATTGAAGGCCTTCTTCTACATCCATGCCAACAAGGGAGGAAAGCTACTAGCCCGCATGTTGCGGAACCAACAAACAAGCGCACAGGTGAGCGCATTGCGAACAGCCAGGGGCACCACTACGCAATTCCCTGAGGAGATCGCAAACGAATTCCGCTCGTACTACGAAGACTTGTATAACATACCGCCTGAAACCCTGGACGCGGATGAGACCAGAACCGCAGGAGACATCGCACGCTACCTCAGAGACTTCAACCCTGAAGCCCTATCCCAGCAGGAAGCAGACGCCCTAGACGCCCCGATATCTACAGACGAGATACTGGCAGTGATAAAAACCACAAAAAATGGGAAGGCACCGGGCCCGGACGGGTTCTCGGCGGGCTATTATAAAAAGTTCAGAGACATCCTAGCCCCACGTATCGCCAACGCCTGCAACCACCTCCGAGACGGGGGTAAATTTCACAGAGAATCCCTAGCAGCAATAATCACAGTGATTCCCAAACCCGGTAAGAGCCCGGAAATCTGCGGCAATTACCGACCCATATCACTACTGAATGTGGACGTGAAGATCTTCTCCAAGGTGCTAGCTACGCGACTGCAACAATTCTTGCCAAGGCTAGTCCACCCAGACCAGACGGGGTTCATCCCGGGAAGAGAGGCCAGGGATAGCACCCTGCGGGCGTTCACCATACAAAGCCTGGCGCGTAGGGGAACATCGGACTTCCTTATGCTCTCCACGGACGCAGAAAAGGCGTTCGACCGGTAAGGTGGAGCTTCATGACGGCAGCGCTGACGGTGATGGGTCTGGGGAACGGCATACTCACCTGGATAACGGCACTATACACCGACCCAATTGCCAGAGTACGGGTAAATGGAGCACTTACAGACAACTTTGACATCAACAACGGAACCAGACAGGGATGCCCGCTGTCCCCCCTCCTATTCGCCCTCTCGTTAGAGCCGTTTCTAGACAAGATCAGAAGGACACCAGAGATCCAGGGATTCAAACAGAAAGATCAGACACACAAGGTGGCCGCATACGTGGATGATATGCTCTTCTTCATCGCGGAACCTCAGGGCACACTGCCGGCCCTCCTACGGGAGTTCAAGTAATATGGGCAGTTATCAGGACTCAAGCTAAATCTAGCAAAATGCGAAATTCTGGCAATACACACCGAAAGGAACACGCAGGAGAGACTCCAACGCAAGTTCCCTTTCCACTGGTGCAAGGAGCAGATGCGCTACCTAGGGATTTGGCTCTGCCGTGACCCGGGCGAGACATACGATAGGAACTATACACCCCTCCTACGCAACGTACTGACGGACCTGTCGAGATGGTCGTACGATCACATCTCTTGGCAAGGCCGAATAGCGGTGGTCAAAATGAATATCCTCCCCCGCCTCCTCTACTGCTTCAGCACTATCCCCTGGCACCTGCCACAGGTCTTCTTCACCAAGCTCAAAAAAGCGGTAACGAAATATGTCTGGAAGGAGGGGAGGCCACGGCTTAAACATGACAGACTATGCTTGCCAAAACCATGGGGAGGCCTGGCCCTGCCGGACTTTCGGAAATACTTCCACGCGACAGTACTCCAGAGAATTTGAGAATGGCACACGGCCCCCACCAACAAACTATGGACGAGGCTGGACAGGGAAAGCACAAACAGAGCACTCCACACATACATCTGGCACCGCCCGACAGGGGCTACACAAGCTCTGGGTACGGAGTCCCCAGTGACGCAGTCGCTGAAAACCTGGTCCACCCTGCGAAGGGAAGCTCACATCTCGCCACAGCCAAGCCCCCTGATCCCCCTAACATATAACGTAACCATAGGAGGGGGACTACACGCGAACGCGTGGCCAACACACGGAGCAGAGGGATATGTACCCCTGAGTTCGGCCCTGACAAACGCCAGCCTGCGCAGCCTTCAAGACTGAGCGGACACAGATCGTCTGACGATAATGCATCGTTTCCATTACGCACAGCTGAGACACTTCTACCACAATCTGCCCAATAGGGGAGCAGTACACAGAGAATGGACCTGGTTTGAACACCTCTGCGAGAGCTATCCAGAGGCAGATGGCAGAGTATCGGGCATATACCAACAACTGCTCACAGGGGAACTTTCCAGAAACAACGCCTTCCAGAGGCAGTGGGAGGAATTGACAGACAGAACCTTCACAGACGCCCAATGGGCGCAAATTCTCATATTACAACACAAAAGCTCCATAAGCACCAGGTACCAAGAGGTGAACTACAAGCTGATCTCCCAGTGGTACAGAACACCAGCAAAACTACACAGGATATTCCCAGGGGTTCCAGATACATGCTGGAGATGCGAAGCGCAGCCAGGCACACTACGCCACATTTGGTGGGATTGCCCTGGGATCAAGCCATTCTGGGAAGAGGTAAACCGGGAAATCACTACAATTCTGGGTGACCCACCAGACTTTAGCATAGAGGCTGTGCTCCTACACTTCTCCACGGGACAGCTGGCACAATACAAACGCTCAATCCTACCACACCTGCTTAATGCGGCCAAAGCGCTGATCCCAGCGAGATGGAAGCAAACCCAGCCACCTTCCAAAACGGAATGGCTGCAGAGAATAGCAGAGATCCACACAGCGAGATACGCTGAAATACTTGGAAGGAGGGACAAACATCTTGAAATGTGGACACCATGGTACCTATACACGTCACAAACAAGGACAGGGGATGGGTCACCACAGGAATCCTAGCCAGCTGGACCAATACGCGCATCTTAACACAACCTCTCTCTCCCCCCCACCTCACCCGGACCTGCCCTGATAGACTAACTCGGGAGTCAGGATAGACTCATGCCACACCATAACTATGCCCCACACCTTCCAGCTCTCCCACCCTTACACACTCCACCCATCCCTATCTCTCCCCCCTCTCTCCTTTTTCTTTCCCCGGGCGAAGTCGGGGACCGGCTGGCGCAACAGGGCCACAATATATCTGAGTCCGAGAAGGCACCACGATTTCCCCATGGGACATGGGCCCAACGATACATCGCTCAATAGACTCGGGGGGGGTCCCACGACGTGGGAACTCCTACAATAAACAGCAAACATAAGTCAACACTAGATGACTGATACAACTGAGCACTGAGACATCACACCATCCCCACCCAAGGGGGGAAACACTCCAGACACACCAAAGATACCAAATGTGGACAGCGACTGGAGCACGACAACGATTACCGCCCACAAGTAAGCAAAACGACAGAGACAACGGACCACACTGATGGGCGCTCCTCCCCTCCCATCGTGATGGCACCGCCTCGCGGCGGGGGAGGGGACGCGGACTCAGAACGAGAGGGTAGCTGACCCAGGAGAGAACCCGCAACATACCTAGGCACCGCCGAAGTTAGAGAAAAGACAACAGGAAAGGGAGTTCCAGACCAGGTGCAAGACTATAGGACCCGATCCCGCAAACGACCCCTTTCTCACTCCCCATGTTAGAGGACGTGACCTGGGACCTACCGCACTACTCACCATTTGATTGAGGTTCAACTATAGAATTGTTCTGCCCTCACTGGTGTGGGCCGGCAGCCATCCGCTTCCGATAAAGCTCTATAAAGACCCACCTAAAACTGGTGGTACTCATGTCAGATGCAATTGGAGACCTGCGAGTCTCACTGACAATATAAGCTCTGCTATCTGTTATTGTCTGAACTGCTAATAAAAACTTTATTTATAAAAAAAAACAGCACACATCGTCACATTGCCCAAACCAGGTAAACCACCCACAGTACCGCAAAACTTTAGGCCTATATCTCTTCTCAACACGGACGCGAAAATCCTGGCCAAAACGTACGCACTCCGCTTAGGAGCAATCTTGCCGAACATTATCCAGAATGATCAGGTAGGATTTGTTAAAGGGAGGCAAGGATCAGATAACACGAGGAAAGTGCTAAACATAGTACACCATCTCCGCAGAAAGACACAAGGGGGACTGTTGGTCTCCTTAGATGCAGAAAAGGCCTTCGATCGCCTACATTGGGGATTCCTGCGAGCAGTACTGCAAAAATTTGATATACCAGAAGGGTTCATAGCTGTAGTGGAAGCCCTGTATAGCTCCCCACGGGCTCAGGTGCTAAACTCAGGGTTCCTCTCGGAACCAATAAAGTTATCAAACGGTACCAGACAGGGATGCCCCTTATCGCCGCTGTTGTATGTCCTGGCCCTAGAACCCTTAGTGATGAACATAAGGGACAACCCAAATATACACGGAGTCACGATTAATACACGCGAATATACCACCAGCCTATTTGCGGATGACGTCCTACTGACACTTACTCAGCCGCAGATTTCCCTCCCCAACCTACTGAAAGAGATCACCACATATGGGCAATATTCATACTATAAGCTCAATGTTACAAAAACACAAGCCATGGGGGTGGGAATCCCGGCAGATATAATGGACCTTCTACAAAACTCATTTTCACTGGACTGGAGACGGGACCACATCACATTTCTCGGGATTAAACTCACAAAAAATCCGACAGACTTGCTTATGGCAAATTATGACCCACTACTGAGAGGTATAGCAAACACACTGAAAGAATGGGAGAGGAAGTTCCTGTCGTGGCTGGGTAGGATATGGCCGCGGTAAAGATGATAGTGTTACCAAAATTCCAATACTTAATAAGAACCTTACAAATACATATACCCAAAACCTACCTAGGAAAACTCCAAAAGCTTTTCACAGGTTTCATATGGGCACACCGCAAAGTAAGGGTGGCAGCTAAAGTGCTGTGCAGACCACAAGCGAACGGGGGGTTGGGAATGCCGGACGTTAAGCAATATTACAGAGCGGCTATCCTAGCTACTGTCATACAAACACACGCCAAAGAGGACACGCCGCAGTGGGTGGAAATGGAGACCTATTGGGCTTGCCCATGGGGCCTGAGCTATTTGTTCTGGGTACCCCGAGAACAGAGAGAGGTACCCAGGTAGTGCCACCCACGACACGACTCCTACTTAACATATGGGACATCTCTAGGAAGCAATGGGGGCAGAACAAGGGGTGGGCGCTGGCAGCCCCCCTATACTGCTTACACCTAGCAAACAAGGCCTTCGATTACCGCCCTTGGATAAGACAGGACTGCACCAGGGTGGGCAACCTATACGACAGCGGCAGATTGTTAGACTTTCCGGACATACAACGCAAATACAACCTACCACACAACACCATTTTCCAATATCTCCAGCTGAAATCCATGCTTCAAGGATCCATAATTAGCACGGTACCACCCATTGCAAAACATATTGAACAACTGTGCACAGATACCAAACAGCCCAAGAGGCTACTCTCTACCCTATATAACATGTTGATCCAAACACAAGAAGACCCCTTAGAGGGGATTAAGGCAGCGTGGCAGAGAGACATAGGAATGACCTTCACCGACCACCAATGGGGGAAGGCATTTTTAGCACACAAAAAAAGAACGAACTGCGCCGCTCACTTAGAGCAGATGCGCAAAATCCAATATCGCTGGTACATGGTGCCGGAGAGATTGGCACAAATTTATCCAAACGCCTCAGGGGCTTGTTGGAGATGTCAGGAAAGCAAGGGTACGATGTACCATATATGGTGGGAATGCCCCATTATAACCAAATACTGGAGACAATCACAAATCTAGCGCTGGACAGGGAGTTCACCATAACACCAGAGAGCGGACTTCTGCTCATGGGACTAGACACGCTTAACAAAACAGATTCCCGCATTCTATTTCACATCTTAATTGCAGCAAACACATTAATAGCCAGGGCATGGAAACAGACTCACGCACCCACTAGGGAGGCTCTGATCAGGCAGATAACCACTAATCTGCTCTATGAACGGGGACTGAACAGACAAAACCCTACAAACAAATATGCTAATCTGGCATACGCGAACTGGACAATGCGCATGGAAAAGGAAGGGGAGCAAATCACATAGAGAGGGAGGAAAAGAAAGAGAGGGAAAAAAAAAAAAGTTCTCGGAGAGGGACAACCCAGTAGGTCGAAGAACAAAATAGGCTCTAACAGGGGCCAAGCCACACCGAACGGTGCAAATAGAAACCCACATGTATATAGTTATAGTTGGTACCAGTTTAAAGTTGACCACAAGGGGCGCTATACAGGCCTGTAACAGACATCATGTACAGACCCAAAAGAGCCCATACGGAGTAGCAACAAGGGAAACAGACAACAAGGCGAAGACAGGCCCAAGAATGGGAGGGCCTTGTCACGGCTGGGGTGGTGGGAGGAATAAGCATTGGTTGTCACAAGATGGCAAGAACTATAGCATGGAATGTCGCTTGCCAAGGGCTTTTCCGAGTCCCTTACACAGGTCCCTTTGTCCTTCCCCCCTCCTGCACCCCTCCCTCCTGATTGCAAGCGGGGGATCGAGTCCCTGCGGGATAAGGGCCAAAGAACAAGGAAAAAAAATAAAAATATATATATATATATAGAAGTGGAGGAGCGTAAGTGCCAGTGTAAATGTCATGGAATGTCAAATGTGTTGATATTATTGTACACCAATGTGAACTTTCCACCTGCCCCCTTTTTTATCTTCTGTATCCCTTGACAACAAAAACTCAATAAAAATTGTCAAATTGAAAAAAAAAAATGTTAAATGTTTTCTTTCTTTTTTTTTTTACAATTTGTAAACTTTGCAAAACCGCTGTCATCCCCTCCTACAAAACCCTTGTCCTGCCCCGCCCCGCCCCTCCTACAAAACCTCTGTCCTGTCCCGTCTACAAACCCCCCGCAACCCCGTTCCACAAATCCCCTGCTTATACCCCTTATAAAGACTCCTGTCCCAATACAAAACCCCCGCCCCCTTCTACAAAATCCCTGCAGCCCCACACACACATTTACAGGCAGACAGTCACACACTCAGTTACAGGCAGACTGTCACACACTCAGTTACAGGCAGACAGTCACACGCCCACACACAGTTACAGGCAGACAGTTACACACAGATAGTGATGTTCCGAGCGGTTTGTCGAACGTTTCGCTGCAGACGGTGAACATATGCGCTGTTCGGTCCGCCCCCTATTCGTCATCATTGAGTAAACTTTGACCCTGTACTTCACAGTCAGCAGACACATTCCAGCCAATCAGCAGCAGACCCTCCCTCCCAGACCCTCTCACCTCCTGAACAGCTCACTAAGAATGCAGCTTCACAATGAATGTAAAATGGATGCTGTCCAGGAGGTGGGAGGGTCTGGGAGGGAGGGTCTGCTGCTGATTGGCTGGAATGTGTGTGCTGACTGTGAGGTACAGGGTCAAAGTTTACTCAATGATGACATAGAGGGCGGACTGAACAGCGCATATGTTCGCCGTCTGCGGCGAACCGTTCGGCGAACCGTTGAGGACATCACTACACACAGACAGTCTCACACACACACACACACACACACTCTTACTTACAGACAGTGGGATGGAGGAGGACTGGATTCCCTGAAGTCCTTCTCTGAAGCCTGTGGAGAATCAGAGATTCCATCTTGCTGCACCTCCTAACAGCAGTGGGTGAGGGCCATATTAAGCCCCGCCCCCAGTGCCAGTTTGGCTCCGCCCCAATTTTGATTAGCTCCGCCCCACTTTTCCTCCGTGCGGCCAGTTTATCAGCTGTTTGCTTGTGTGGAGACAGACAGGAGACAGATGCTCCCTGTACCCGCGGACCAATAGAGGGCTCGGCCACGCTACAACAGAGGGAGTGACAGGAGGGAGCACTGAACGCTTCCCTCCTGTCAGCCCCTCTCCTCATGCTGCGCCTGGGTGGTGCGCCCTCATGGACGTACCGCCCGGGCAAAGCTGCAGCCGCCTGAGGCTCTCTACAGAGCACTCGGGCGGCTGCAGCATGGGGGGGGGGAGGCGGTCCTGGTCATGGCACCCCCCACCCTGGTGGCACCCGGGGCGGACCTCCCCCCCCCTTAGTACGCCACTGGCCCAGGGTATTTTAAACGGGGTATGTCCAGTCTTTTGTAGTAGCCACTTAGCCACAAACACTAGCCAAAGTTAACATTTATATTTGTTTGTGTGTGAACTTTGGCCAGTTTTTGTGACTAAATGGTCACTAGAAAAAACTGGACATACCCTACTTGCAATACCTTGGGTTGTCTACTTTTGCAAAAGGAATGCCATCATGGGGGTAATTCTTATTACTGGGCTACCATACGGTCTCAAAGGCAACATAACCAATTTGGCAAATTTCTATGATAAAAAATGAAATGGGCATTGTATTTGGCTCTGTAACTTTCAAAAACACTATAAAACAAGTACATGGGGGATACTGTTATACTGGGGAAACTTTGCTGAACACAAATATGAGTGTTTCAAAACAGTAAAATGTATCACAACAATGATATTGTCAGTGAAAGTGCTGTTTGTGTGTGAAAAATGCAAAAATAAATTCACTTTCATTGACAATATCATCGGTGTGATATGTTTTATGGTTTTGAAACAGTAATATTTGTGTTCAGCAAAGTCTCCCGAATAAAACAGTAACCCCCCCCATGTACAGGTTTTAGGGTGTTTTGGAAAGTTACAGGGTCAATATAGGGCTTGCACATGTCAGTTTGTCAGATTGGTTTGCTGGGTCTTTGTTGCCTTTTGAGACCATATGGTAGCCCAAGATTGTGAATTGGCATACCATTTGCAAATGTAGATAACCCAGGGTATTCAAAATTAGGTATGTCCAGTCTTTTGTAGTAGCCACTTAGTCACGAATGCTGGGCAAAGTTAGCGTTTTTATTTGTTTTTCCCTTTTTTTTTTCATTGAGGATACATGGGGGGTGATGTTATACTCAGGAGACTTCGCTGAACACAAATATGAGTTTCAAAACAGTAAAACTTGTTATGACGATGATATCACCAGTGAAAGTGCAGTTTTTGTTTTAAAAAAATGCAAAAAATAAAATAAAAACGCTAACTTTGGCCCGTGTGCCTGGGAACTGCCTGATCGCTCAGACAGTCCCCCTGCTGGCAGCTCCATAGCCTTCCATTGCGGTCATGTGATCGTGGTGATCACATGGCCCTGGAGGGCCGGAGAGGATGTAGCTGCAGCAGGGGGACCGCTGGGAACTCGGGCAGTCCCCCTGGACCAGGATCGCCGGTCCAGGTGAGTACCCCAGCCATTTTAGCTGCAGGCGTGCAAGGTACGTCCGCGGTCATTAACTGCCGTTTTTTGTCGGACGTACCCTGCATGTCAAAGGTCGGGAAGGGGTTAAAGTGAACCTGTCATGATGGTTAACAATTGCAAGTATTCCATCCATCTTGCTTGACTCATAGTGTTTCTTCCCTTAATATGAGTAAAAGTTCATATTTTACTTTATTTTCATTACCCCTGTCACCTACTGAAAGTATGAATTATATTTTCAGTGGGTGTTTCCTGTTTGGTAAGCACAGATTAACAGAGAAGGATTTGGGAATTGTTATAGACAACAAACTAGGCAACAATGTGCAATGTCAATCTGCAGTTACTAAGGCCAGTAAGGTATTGTCATGTATAAAAAGGAGCATTAAATCACTGGTAAGACCACACCTTCAATATGCTGTGCAATTTTGGGCACCAAAAGGATATTACAGCACTAGAAAAAGTGCAGAGGCAGCCCACAAAATTAATAAAATAAATTAAACATTTTGATTATAAAGAAAGGTTAACAAATCTAAATCTTGGGAGATATGATAGCATTATACAAATATATCCAGGGTTAATACAAACCCTTGAATGGAAATCTATTCTGAAACAGGATTATACATAGGTCACAAGATTACGCATTTAGACTGGAAAAAGAGAAGTTTTAAGGCAAGGACAATAAGGATGTGGAATTCTCTGCCTAAATAGGTGGTTTTATCAGAGTCTGTACAGATGTTTAAACTGCAACTGAATGAATGCTTGCAAAAACATATTCATGGATATAAATTTTAATTTGTGGGGTAACTGATTCTTGATTTGAGGAGAGATATGAATGCCATTCTGAGATAAAGAATGATTTTTTTCCTAGTTTGTTTCAAAATTGGACAGTGCATTAAACTGGATTTTTTTGCCTTGTTTTGAATCAACAACAAAAAGAGATGTGAGAAAGATTGAACTTGATAGACACATATCTGTGTTAAGTCTATGTACCTGTCACATCCTGTTCCTAGCTGCGGATCATTCTGGCAATGGCTTCTGGTATCCAGTACTCTTTTTACAATTCTTGTTTAGTTTTTCTTGGTTTTTCTGGTTTTCTATTCCATGTCTGGTTTTCTTTATGCTGGGGTTTCTGGGTTCATTCCTGTATTCCGTTCCTGGAATTCCCAGTCTCCAGGATTCCTTTATATGTTTGTTTTATGTTGCCACACCTGTTCCTTTTCCATGATTCCTTTTGTTTGAGTTGGACCCTGCAGGCAGTTGCTAAAATCTTCTGCCCTTTCTTGCAGGTAAGTGCTGTGTGTGTTTTATTATTGTTTATTTGGTCATGCATATTTAGGTAGATATGACCCACCTTAATTGGAGGACTTTGAAGTAGTTGGTGGGCTGCATACATCTTGGCCATTTATGTATGTCTAAATCTCCAATGTTTTACATATTTAGTACTTAGTTATGTCTCCTCTTGTTTTGCCTATTATATCTTGTCTTGTTTTTTTTTTGTATTCCCAGTCCATGTACAGTCATGTCCTGTCCTGCCTCTTTTCTGTTAATGTTTCCCTTATGTATTGTGTACATGTTCTGGGTTCTGCTTTCTATCCTTCTCTTGTTCTGGGTTCTACTAGTTCTGTATTGTTTTCATAGTTGGTGCCTATCCTAGCCTTGCTTTGTTTCTGTACTGGATACATTCCTGCTGCAATGCCTCCCTATTCAGCTCCTGGGAGATCTGCTTATTTCCTAGCTCCTAGTTCCTGGGATCCGCTGAAGCTGCATAAGGGTCCTGGTATGTGGCGCACAAATGCTGGTGCTCAACACCAGGGGGCGTGCGGTTACCCTGCACCAGACCCTGCTTATCCTATTTCACACTGTGACTCCTACTTTCAACATCAGGCATACTGGGTCCTGGTCGTCTGACCGCCGCGCAGACAGTGTCTGGGTCCCAGTCACCGGACCGCCACCCTAACAGTACCTGTATGTAATAATGTAACAATAAAAGTTAAAAGTTCCCAACACTTTATATTGGCTTTATGGTATGTAAATAAAAACATATCTGTTCTCTCTCTCTCTGTTCTGAGATTACCTTTCCAAAACCCCTGCAGAAATCATTCTGGCTATTTCTCTCCATGCTGCAGTTGCTCTCACACAGAGCCTGCTGCTCCTTCCGCCTTCCTCTACAGGTATTGCTTTCTTTAACGCTTTAGACAAGTAGGAGTCACACCAGAGGAGGGCTCCCCTTGTGACAGACTCATGCAGAGCACATACTTATAATCTCTGTGCATACAGCATACACAGAATTGTGTGACAGAAGGGGAAACAGGCTGTTTTTTTATTCTCTGCTTTCAGAGAAATCTGCTGGTGCAATGAAAAACCACAGGAATTGCAGCATATACAAGAGTTGCAGCTGATTGATTTGTTAGCTCTAGGTTAGGTAGCTAGGCACACCAGACCATTCTCCAGGCAGCTTTGGGAGCATCTAATGTAGGTGAACTGTAAGTATTGTGGTTAGCATGCTTGTCTCCCATGTTAAAGTTAGTGTAGGTCTCACCGATATTTTGTTTGTCTTGATTGCAGCACAACTATGACAAATGCATGTTCTCTTTGGTTGCAGTATAGAGGATCATATGGTTTATTTGTGGCGTAAGGCAGTCAGGTTTATTATGGTTCACTGGCTAAAGTGGTAGAGTACATTTATGGTGAAGTATTTTACATATATATAATTGTAATTGTTTTATTTAGTTATTTATGATTATTAAAGCCCTTAATAAATGCCACAGTCTTTGCACCATTCAATGAGAATGTTTGTACCACTTATTGTGTGATCTCTAAATTATTTAATGCTGCATACACTGCATATGTATATATGAATTGCAATTCCCTATCATGTAAGATTAAGTTTTATTTGTCAGGATAGGTACCCCTTCTAGAGACACCGTGGGCATCCAAACCACTACATCTTAATTAAGTTGTCTGTGTGCCATGTCCCTCTAGTTTTAACACTGCAAGAGAAAACATTGGTATTCTGCATGATTGTCAGTGTTTACATTGCAGGGTTTAAATGCCTCTCAATGCTTTCCTCTGTTAAAGTACTGGATTGGCTGATCTCATCAACCTTGATGATTTTAGCCAAGAGGTGGCGCAAGCCACAGAGAGAGCATGTGGTAATAGAGAAAGGATGAGTAAACTTACTTTTAACCCTCATGGAGGGCCGGGGGGGGTGACCTAAACAGTCGCTAGGATACTATTTACAGATTTGTACCATGCCTGCCTGCAAAAAATAGCTTTAACACTGCAGGGTGGCTTGGTACATCCTGCAGACTGCCTACCCTGCTCCACTATACTTACCTTATGCTGCCGCAATCTAAATTGAGGGGACTGCCTGTCAACCCAGGCAGTCCCCCTGTGGGTAATCCGGCCTTTCAGGGCCATGTGATTGCGATGACATTACGATCACATGGTCGCAATAGCAGACCTCAGCACTGCCTGCAGGGGGACTACCTGGGTTGTCAGGCAGTCCTCCAAGTTCCGAACTTTTTCATACCAGCTGTATCTCTAATGTCTGTTAAAGAATATTTTGTGGGATGGGTGTGTGTGATTGTGTAGTGTCTGTGTGTAAGTTGCTGTGTATAATAGTTGTGGTTCTGTGTAATGTGTGTGGGCAGCTGTTAAATAATGTGTGAGTGGATGTGTGCGGTATGTCCATTCTAACCAAAAACGTATAATATCTATTAAAAACAATGATAATTTGTACCTTTTACTTCCTACCTTGGATCAGGAAGGATTGCTATGATGATGATTCCCTGGTGGTTTTTGGAGCTGCAGCAGGCTGTGTCATTTTAGCGACATCAGTTGTGAATGTTCTAGCGTCATAATTTGACTATGATATATGCTAAGTCAGTCTCCATACAGGGCTCGCGTATCTTTCTGGCATCAGTTTCGAAGCTGCACAGTTTGCCTGTACAGAACCTTATAAGGCCAAAGGGTTGTATAATTCATATGTCATAATGGAGGCGCCCAACATGCCTGTACTACCGCGCTGTGTTTTTTTATTTATGTTCTGGCACCCAAGAATGAAACAAACCAACAGGAATAAACATTTGGGTATTTTAACCCCATTTGCTTAAAGCAAAGGTGCCTTGTTGTGGTTTTTCTTGATGCAATAGTGCGTTTCTTGCTTATCCTGATATTTTGTTATTGACCTTAGCTTGTTATTCCACTGAATATGATTGCTCTGTTGCTTACCCTTAATCTAGTTTTCTTGTTTATGCTGTTTCTGACTATTCGCTACTGTTAAAGGACCACTATAGTCACCCAAACCACTTCAGCTGCTGGTCTGGGTGCCAGGTCCCCCAGGTTTTAACCCTATAGATGTAAACATAGCAGTTCCTGACAGTCGCTAGAGGCGCTTCTGCGACGCTGAATGCAAAAATCGCATTCAGCGTGCAGAACGTCCATAGGAAAGCATTGAGAAATGCTTTCCTATGGGCATTTTTAATGCGCGCGCGTCTCTGGCCGCGCATGCGCATTCCGCTCCACTCGGGAGCTGACGTTGGAGTGGGAGGAGAGGTCACCAGCGCCGAGGGAGCCCGGTGCTGGATTAAAGTAAGCAGCTCCCCTTCAGCCCAGCGGGAGGAGGGCTCTGAGGGTGGGGGTGGACCTAAGGGTTATATAGTGTCAGGAAAACAAGTTTGTTTTCCTGATACTATAGTGATCCTTTAAGCCTGGCAACTCTTTATACTTTTGTGTCCTTTGACTTTGGCTTGTCTCAGTTTACTCTATTTTCCTGCCTTTCTGGACTGGTAATACCTTTGCATGTGACATGTTTTTCCTGGGTTTGGGTATACACACCTTGACAGTTGCCCATGATAATCATCAAGTTTATTACCATCTACTTTCATCATTTGTCAGCTCAAGTTCTCAGGCTCCTGGGTAAATACACCACCATAGGTCAGCTGATGTTGTGTTCACCATCCTCCCTTGATAAAGGCCTTGGGCTGAAATGTTGGGGGGCATTTTTATTTTGGTATTAGTTTGACTCTTCTACTCTTCTCCCATCTCTTTTTTTTATTTTTATTTTCCAGGTGACAGGTATTTCAGGTGACTGGTATTTAGTTTACTGTATATAGTATATTGTTTTTGTAAATTGGATTACTGGATACAATTAATATACTGGTTGGCTGATGATGTTACCATGAGTATATATTTACCTATATCTATTTTAGTTTATAATTAGTAACTTGAAATACCTTATGATAATTTTGTATACTATTATTATGTGTTGGATTATGTGTTATTTACACAGACTGATTTCTAAAAACATTTATTTTTTTACTTACACTTTACTGTAGAGCTCTGTTATACACTCTTACACACCAACAATATAGAGCTCCTAGAAAAGAGTGCCATTAGGATAGAAAAGAGCGACTGATGAATTTGGGCCTAAACTAGGGACCATACTTCCTAAATAGGGACACTTGGAGATATGCATATCAAAGGCAAAACCAGAATTGACGTTAGTCCAAAGTAGCAAGGTCACTAAATCTAAATTATATCAATTATGTGGATTCTCAATTCAAGTAGAAGATGTGGCAACAGATAGCTGATGATGTTACCTGGAGAGGCAATCATTCAAAGATAACACATACAGCTAGCAAGAGATAATAGGCCTCTGGAGACACACTAACAGTAAACCTGCTAATAGGCAATGAGTTATTTAAATAGCCCAGCAAATTAAAAGGGAAAAATGGAGTTAGCCTTTCTTAAAGAGACAAAACCATAGAGTAAACCCAATCCTAATGTGAACACACATGACAAGAACCATCAATTGTATCGGTAGTGACAAAGCCCTGCACTCAGGGTCTTCCTGTCACTCCATTTCACCTCTGACTCATCCTGTCTAGGTAGGGATGGAATTCAGCAAGGTATACGTCAGTATCTCACCAAAGGATAAAGATGGAAAGATAGGCTTTGTGACAAACGCTCCTTACCCTGGACATTTGTCACAAACTCCTGGAGGAGCCTGCTAGCTAGCCTCCTGCCCAAGGACTATGGGCCACATACAAAGACCCTGTTCAGGAGTTAAATCTTTCCCTGGGTGCTCTGATTCTGCACATTCCTTTCATTCAAATAGAAGCGAACATTAGCTCCCTGGCAGCCGTTCGCATAAGGTGTAACGGACCGTTTTGCCCAAAAGAGGTTAAAAACCGTTTAGGCGATATTCCCCTTTTTCAGCTGCACTGACAGCTACTGCAAGCACCAATCTCCTGAACTGCAAACCCACGAATTCACCAACTCCCGAACTGCAACCAAGGGAATACTCGAAACTCCCGAACTGGAGACACAAGAATAGCTGCTAGCAGACTAACAGGAAAAGCCCCCAAGCGGCTTACACTCCTGGTAATCAGTCTCTAACAGCATACAGTAAATCCTCCCCCAATAATGAGACGACACTTCACTTTGAGGGTTAAGCAGGAACTCTCTGTAATGGCCACACACTGGCTTTTATGCAAGTCCCCATGCAAGGGGACATCCCACAGGGTGGGACACAGTACAACCAATCGTTACAGGGGAACCGTAAAACACACCCACAATTACATCACAATCCCTCCTCTCTGTCCAGGAGATAATTGTGAAGTAATCAAATTATCTCCAAGGACAGAGGCAAAACTCCATTAACCACATGGCAGACAAAGGACAATAAAAGACATAAAATTACATACAGTTACATTTATTCCATAAAACATAGACATTCTACATATCCCCAGATAGCTTAGATCTGAGTGCACATTACTACCGAATGGCGCTCAGATTACATACATACAGTTCAATCGCCATGGAGCCAAAGTCTTTCATACAGTCTTTCAGTATACGGCTGGGCTCTATCTGGGGTAGCATGACTTTAACAGTCCGCAGAAAGGCACGAATAAACCTTTCTGCCGGTAAAATAAAAGTTTAAAATGCAGGACCATAGTCTAAAGGGAGCAGGCGAGCAACCAGGCTTCTCCAGTGTACAGTGGCGAGGTTGGTTTCGCCACATAAGGAAACACACAAATTGTTCTCAGCGGTCTTTAGCCACGATAGTTATGGAACTAAATTTGGCATGAGAACTTTGTGGGCTCCCGGTCACCTCAGCGGGACTTAGCTGCGAATGTTATGGAACTGTTTTCGGCATGAGGTGACCGTGGGGCTCCCGGACAACTTGGTCCGGGGTTTTGAACGACTTTGAAATCCACCAGGAGAACGCTTTTTGGAGGGAAGGTGTCTGTGACTAAGGGGAACAAACGCTGCCCGAGACCCAGGCGGATCACCCGAGCTCCGAAAGTTTACCGGACAAAGCACCAAGCGCCCTGGAACTGTTTGGGGCATAGGACCATGTGTGCGGCCGGTCAGAACTTTGACACGGTGGCGTTTCCCCTACACTGCATCTTTAATAATGATTGGACCCTGAGCAAGCATTTGTTTGGGCCCCCTGGACCATGCCTCCCCCTGCACTCCCTGGCATGCAATCACTGAATCCACCCCAACGCAGTGGCGGAACTAAAGTAGAAAGAGCCCGGGAGAAAATAATTTTATTGGGCCCCGCAATTGCAAGGTTGGACAAAAGGTAGAACCCTATCTTTCGTGCAACTCAACAATGCTTTGACAGCTGGGGCTCTACCAATTTCCTATGTCTGCAGGGTTGTATTTAGAACTGAGCCGTGTTTGTGTGTTTGAATATAAGCATGTGTTTGTATGGAGTATGTTTGTGTGAAAGCGTTTGTATGTGGTGTTGAAGTTTAAATGCAAGTGTGCATTTATGTATAGTGTTGGTTTTTGAATGTAGGAATTTGTTTATATATAATTTTGGTTTTTCAACTCATAGGTGTGTTTGTATGTAGTGTTGACGTTTCAATGCAGGAGTGTGTTTGTATGTAATGTTAAAGTTTGACACTGACACACATGCAGATAAACACACAGATACACACACTGACAACATACAGGTACACAGACACATACAAATACACAGGCACATACACTGACAGACCTACTGACACACACAGGCACATACTGTCAGGATATTTATATCGGCAGACATTTTGCTCTAAAATAGAAATTAAAAGTGTATATTGCTAGAGTCACTCAGAACAGAGCAGACTCCATTTTGCTATCTTCAGGATAACAAAGACACATCATTTCCTTGCTTTCACTAACCACTGAGCCTGAGCTAAGGAATGCATTATATAAACAAGTGATAAGCAATGAAGCAGGGGGATAGAAGGCCCTGTCTAAATGTTAATGGAATAGAAATAATTCTAAGCACAGACACTAGTGACAGAGAAGACTAAGTAATTAATTTTACTTTCTAAATTTTACAAGGTCCCATTGTAAGTAAGGGGTGAAATTGAGTTTAGAACTGTCAATTTTAGAAATTACGATCAAAGTAGTTGCCACAAAGACTGAGACAAACGCTTTGAACTGACAGCAAATTTAAGTTATGGTAGTCATTTTAGATAAGCCAAATGACGTCAAAAACGTCATCAGGAAAAGTTAACTCTTTCCTGGATAGAAAGGTTTAGTAAGGTGAGACTGCCCTCTATGGATCAAATACCTAAGTTGCGATCTGAAGGTTGAACACACCTTCAGTTTCCTATTGGCCTTATTAACTAATGACGTACAGAGAGTCTGGCCCTTTAAAAGTTAGGACAAAGGGAAGAGAGGGTAGTTGGTGGAGTTTTGGGGCATTCAGATTGGGACATGCAGAGAGATCCAGGACACTCTGGGACTAACACTCAACTCTCAAACTCTCTTGGACACAACTCAAGAAACACTCCTTGACACTTAGAATTTTACTGATACTTTCTAACCAACATCACTTTTCTCTATTACTCACGCACCTCCATACAACCAATCATACTCGCAAGTTCCTGGGACTACCTACTCATCTGATGAGAATACCTACATAACTGATAATTATGCTGGTTTTATTTAATTAATCTAAATTAATTAAAATCTAATAGCATGATATATGACTGGATAAATCACGGTCAGATTTCAATATTTAGAAATCTTAGTTAACTAAAGAATATATAGTTATAAACATTCCATTCCGCAGGTGGAATTAAGAATAATTATATATTAATGTGATAGTATCACGTGTTAGCATACCGTTGTTTTTATCCAGGTGTATTGATTTGCTCTAAATAAGATAACATGTCTTTTTAGGCAAATTAAAATTCGGTTTATAGAATCTGGTAGATTATTCTTATTGGACGGTTACAGGAAATGATTAATGAGCTGGTTTGAATGTTATTTTAATTGAAAATAACACGAGAATAGGATATTATGTGCCTAGGAGGATCTAGCCAGCATTGAAAGGGTTACTCAGTTGATTTAACTGTTAGCCAAGGTTTTGCTGGGCTGTGTGAAGTTTTGCTTTCTTTGTACTGTGTTTAGCCATTGCCATTGTATATTTATGTTATACTAAATATTCACTGATTAATATCATGCATGCTGCCTAATATTATTATTATTAGTCACAATAAATTATATCTATTTTTATAACAAATTGTGATTTTATTTGTATGGAATACATTTCACTTACATGATAACGATCTCTAAGATCTAAGAGAATTGAAATAGTGGGCAATTCTCGACTGTTTAATATTATCATCCCATAAATATCCCCACAATACACTGTAGATGTACTGACATACACAGGCACATACACTGGTAGATGTACTGACACACACTGACAGACATACTGACACACACACAGGCACATATACAGACATACTGACACACACAGGCACATACAGGGCTCGAGTCCTGCAGGAACGCATGGGAACGGCGTTCCTGCACTTTTTTCAAAGTAGGAACGCCGTTCCCGTTAGCAGTCCTGCAGGACCTGCCCTGCTACCTGCACACAGGGGCCATCACACGCTGTGTTCCCTCTCCAGCTCTAACTGTCGTCAGACCCTCGGCTGTCAGAGCGTTGCCACGGGTTACCATGGCAACACTCCGCACAGGCGAGTCTCGCGAGCGTTAGAGCTGGAGAGGGAACACAGCGTGTGATGGCTCCTGTGTGCAGCGGCTGGCTCCCTCCACCGGACCACCAGGCGATCTCCCCCCCTCCCTGACAAGGAAAGAAGCAGGGAGGGGGGAATAAAATAAAAATATATAGACACATGAAGTTAAAAAAAATGCCCTATCATTCAGCACACACACATCATCCAGCATGCACACACACATCATCCAGCATGCACACACACATCATCCAGTGCACACACACACCATCCAGCACACACACACACAACATCCAGCGCACACACACACACACACACATCATTCAGTGCACACACACATCATCCAGCGCACACACACCATCCAGCGCACACACACACCATCCAGCACACACACACACACACCATCCAGCGCACGCGCACACATCATCCAGCGCGCACACACACACACACATCATCCAGCACACACACACACACACATCATCCAGGGCACACACACACACACATCATCCAGTGCACACACACATACACACCATCCAGCACACACACACATACACACCATCCAGCACACACACACACAATCCAGCATACACACACCATCCAACACGCACACACACACACATCATCCAGCACACACACACACCATCTAGCCCACACACATCATCCAACACACACACCATCCAGCACACACACAACACATCATCCAGCACACACACTACATTCTTTATACACACTCTGCACTTACTACAAACACACTACATTCATTATACACACTACATTCACTATACACACTCTGCACTCACTACAAACACACTACATTTATTATACACAATCTGCACTCACTACACACTACATTTATTATACACAATCTGCACTCACTACAAACACACTACATTTATTATACACACTCTGCACTCACTAAACACACTACATTTATTATACACACTGCACTCACTATAAACACACTATATTCATTATTCATACTCTGCATTCACTACAAACACACTACATTCAATACACACACTGCACTATATGCACTAAATTTTTTATTTTTGTATTTCCAGGACTAGACCCCTGGGCACATACACTGACAAACGGACACACATACACAGACACATACACTGGCAGAAATACTGGCACACAGATGCATACACTGAAAGACATACTGACACATACACTGACACACACACAGACATACTGACACACAAATACATACACTGTCAGACATACTAACACACACACGCAGATATACTGACTAAGACATACTGACACACACACACACAGATATACTGACAAAGACATACTGACACACACACACACACAGATATTCTGACACACACAGACATACTGACACACACACAGACGTACTGACACACACAGACACACACTCTAACACACACACAGGCACACTAGCACACACATTGCAAGGCCATTATAAGGCACATACACTGATAGACATATTGACACACACATACACTGGCAGAAATACTGACACACACAGACATACTGACACACACAGACATACTGACACACAAATACATACACTGCCAGACATACTGACACACACACAGAGATATACTGACAGACACAGACAGACAGACACACACACACACACATATACTAACATACATGTAAAATTAAATTTTTAAACCCACCCTCCAGTTGCCTACCTTTTCCTGGAGGGTGGCTTCCCTGGGGTCCAATGTGGTGCCTGAGGCCGATGGGAGTGAGGAGCCTCCATCCTCACTGCCACTGCTGTCGCCTCCTCCCTCCTGCGTATCTCCTCCTGCCCCCTCCCGTGCAGCTCCTCTCTTTATGGAAGGAAGTGACTCGCGGCTGTCATTTCCTCCCATACTGCCAAAAACCAAGGGGCCCGGTCGCGCTGTTAAAGGGTCACAGTGCCCCTGCTGATACAAGCCCACTGGGTGGCCCTAAGTGCATGGGCCGCCCAGTGGCACTGCTTAGAAGACGAGGAAAAAAAATTGTTGAGGGCAGTGGGGCCATGGGGCAGCTGCCTTGGGGCCTCCCAGAGTAGCTGGGCTTGGGGCAGCTGTCCCTTTTACCCTGCGTTAAAAATGGCCCTGACTGCATGGATCTGAGTGCTATTTGGAGAACTTGGGTGCTCAGATCAGGGCTATTTAAGGATGTTATTTTTGTGGGGTTATTATATATTTGTATAATGTTTTTGGCCATTTTTCTGTTTTGTGCTTAGTCATTCTGACTCAGAAATTCATGGGCGTGTTGTGAGAGTGTTCTGGGCGTGTTTTACTGTATCCTTGCTGTGTATATAAGTGGGCCATCTGGCCATAATAAAGTCAGCCTTCTTGTACCCTTAATCAAGTCTAGGCTGATGTTTGGGTATACCAGAGCTATAATCACCGCTTCACTTGGGATTTGGGAGAACTACAGCCGATTTACTCAAGCGGAATATAGGGGATCCGTTACAGGCTTATTACCAGATTTTAAAGTTGCTGGGTTTCATTCTTAGAGAGAAAAATGAAAAATACCAGCTAATTGCTAACACAAGCTCAGGTGCCGAATACCAAGCCATTACAGCGAGTGATGGCAAAAAGGCTTGAAAAGTGCCTTATTTTTTTTTTTTTTTAAAAGATGCAGTTGGGGAGAAGGCTGGACGCATTACAACTGTGAGTGCGGTGAAAATGATGCAGAGTTGCACTTGTCACAGATTGATGCTCTATACATGCAGGTAACCTTTCACAATGACTCCACAAAACAATGTTGTTTTGAGACCACAGAACTTGTATCTGTTTTAACCGACTGATAATTCTAATTCTGTCATGTCTGTGACTTGATCTGGTTTAGCAAGCTTCTTGTTAGATTTGTCCTCTATTATTAGTATTATTATTACCATTTATATAGTGCCAACAGATTCTGTAGCGCTTTACAATATTATAATAGGGGGGATTTAACTATAAATAGAACAATTGCAAGAAAACTTATAGGAACGATAGGTTGAAGAGTCTATAGAACTCTAACAGAGTTATTCACTAAAGTGAGAATTCAAAGAGAATTTCAAATTTAGCATAAAAATGGCTGAACTGGAACCAGTTTGAGTACTTTGGCTTTCAATTTGAAATTCACTTTGTATTCTCATTTAAGTGAATAACCTTGTCAATGTTTAGGATTAAATCACTATCCTCTTCTAACTTAATGTTTAGTAACAAATCTCCATCCACGTTGGTGTTGCCAGTAGAGTGGCATGAAGTCTAATGAGCAGAAGCTGGCTGGAACCCTGATATAAACCAGTGAATTTGCACCAATGCCATAAAAGTTTCAATACAGAATAAGTGAAATCGTGAAGATCCTGCACTGGGATGCCATGGAATGTTGTCAATTTTGGTTTGTATGATATTCTTTACTTAGAGACATACTGATTGCATAATCATGAAATAGATAATAGGTCTTTTTTTTTTTTTTTTAAACTACTAGTTCATTATTTTTAACTAGTAGTGATAACCCCTTATATACAGTGCCTTGCAAAAGTATTCACCCCCCTTGACTTTTTATTTTGTTACATTACAGCCTTAATTTAATGTTTATTTTTAATCTGAATTTTATGTGATGGATCAGAACACAATAGTATAAGCTGGTGAAATGAGAAAAATATATACATAAAACTATTTTTTTAGAAATAGAAAACAGAAAATTGGCATGTGCGTATGTATTCACCCTCTTTGTTATGAAGCCCATAAAAAGCTCTGGTGCAACCAGTTACCTTCAGAAAAACACATAATTAGTGAAATGATGTCCACCTGTGTGAAATCTAAGTGTCACATGATCTGTCATTAGTACTTACACATACACACCTTTTTTAACCCATTAAGGACTGAGCCAAATGTACATGTTGTGAACGAAACAAAATGTAAACAAAACCTGGCATTTGCGCTACATGTCTGTCCAACCGTAATTCACCTCTTTCATAGTAAATGCACCCACCCTTATTATATATCATTTTGTTCAGGGGAAACAGGGCTTTCATTTAATATCAAATATTTAGCTATGAAACATAATTTAATATGAGAAAATGGGAGAAAATAAGATTTTTTATTTTTTATTTTCTTAGTTCTACATGACATTTTAACAGTCAATGTCATAATACTGTTTGCTTACATATATTTGTATTCAGCAAAGTCTCACGTGTAAAACAGTACCCCCTATGTACAGGTTTTATGGCGTTTTGGGAAGTTACAAGGTCAAATATAGCACGTTACATTTGAAATTCGCCAGATTGGTTACGTTGCCTTTGGGACTTTATAGTACCCCAGGAATGATATTTACACCCATAATGGCATATCATTTGCAATAGTAGACAACCCAAGGTATTGCAAATGGGGTATGTCCAGTCTTTTTAGTAGCCATTTGGTCACAAACATTGGCCAAAGTTAGCGTTAGTATTTGTTTGTGTGTGAAAAATGCAAAAAAAGCCAATTTTGGCCAGTGTTTGTGACTAAGTGGCTACTAAAAAAGACTGGACATACCCCGTTTGCAATACCTTGGGTTGTCTACTATTGCAAATGGTATGCCATCATAGGGGTACTTTTCATTCTTGGGCTACCATAGGGTCTCAAAGGCAACGTAACCAATCTGGCGAATTTTAATGTGAAAAAAATAATTGCAATTAATTAAGATACCTAATTATGTAAAAATATTACATAAATATATATGTAGAATTAATATATGTATATATATATATATACGTATGTGAATATATATATATATATATATATATATATAATTTTAAAAAAATATTTTTATTTATATATAGGTATATATATAGTGATATATACGTATATATTTATGTATATAGATATATATATTTTTTCGTTCTACGTGTATTTTGATATAAATATATATATATTAATATCACAATACAGTTAGAACGAAATAACACACATCTATATATTTTTTAATTATTATTTTTTAAATTATTTTTTTAATTTTATTTAGTAACATATTTACATATTTAATTTTTTTTATTATATCTAAATATATATATAACAATAATTATATATTTAATCAATATCAGTCTACGTGTAATTTGATATTAATATATATATATATAATTATATATATATATATTAATAGTAAAATACACCTAGACAGTGTGTGTGTGTGTGTGTATGTATATGTGTATATATATATACTTAGATCATATATATATGATCTAAGTATATATATATATATATATATATATATATATATATATATATATATATATATATATATATATATATTTATTTTTTTTTACACTTTTTAACTTTTTAAAATTTTATTTAATTTTATTTCCAGCCAGCAGGGGGACCACCTGTCATTACAGGCAGCCCCCCTGCTGGCAATACAGCAGGCAGCTATGCCGGCCATGTGATTGTGAGGTCCTCGCAAGGACCTCACTCTCACATGGCCGGGGGGGCTGCCAGGGGGTCGGACGTGCCGCCGGGGGCTCCCTGGGAGTCCCCCCAACCGCGATCACCGGCGTGGGATCGCCGGCAACCGGGTAAGTAAAGAAAGACCGGAGGGCGTACTATTACGCCTGGCAGCGTTTAGAGCCGCCTAAAATAGGGCGTAATAGTACGCCCTCCGGTCTGAAGGGGTTAAAAGGCCCCAGAGGCTGCAACACCTAAGCAAGAGGCACCACTAACCAAACACTGCCATGAAGACCAAGGAACTCTCCAAACAAGTAATGGACAATGTTGTTGAGAAGTACAAGTCAGGGTTAGGTTATAAAAAAATATCCAAATCTTTGATGATCCCCAAGAGCACCATCAAATCTATCATAACCAAATGGAAAGAACATGGCACAACAGCAAACCTGTCAAGAGACAGTCACCCACCAAAACTCACGGACCGGGCAAGGAGGGCATCAATCAGAGAGGCCCTCCTTGCCCGGAGAAACTGCAGAGTTCCACAGCAGAGACTGGAGTATCTGTACATAGGACGACAATAAGCCGTACGCTCCATGTAGGAGACTCACAAAATGTATGGAGGAAGGTCCTCTGGTCTGATGAGACTAAAATTGAACTTTTCGGCCATCAAAGAAAACGCAATGTCTGGTGCAAACCCAACACATCACATCACCCAAAGAACACCATCCCCACAGTGAAACATGGTGGTGGCAGCATCATGCTGTGGGGATGTTTTTCAGCAGCTGGGACTGGGAAACTGGCAGAGTTGAGGGAAAGATGAATGGTGCTAAATACAGGGATATTCTTGAGCAAAATCTGTACCACTCTGTGTGTGTGATTTGAGGCTAGGACGGAGGTTCACCTTCCAGGACAATAACCCCAAACACACTGCTAAAGCAACACTTGAGTGGTTTAAGGGGAAACATGTAAATGTGTTGGAATGGCCTAGTCAAAGCCCAGACCTCAATCCAATTTAAAATCTGTTTTCAGACTTAAAGATTCCTGTTCACAAGTGCAAACCATCCAACCTGAAGGAGCTGGAGCAGTTTTGCAAGGAGGAATGGGCAAAAATCCCAGTGGTAAGATGTGGCAATCTCATAGAGACTTATCCAAAGCGACTTGGAGCTGTGATTGCCGCAAAAGGTGGCTCTACAAAGTATTGACTTTAGGGGGGGGTGAATAGTTATGCACATTGGCCTTTTCTGTTATTTTGTCCTCTTTGTTGTTTGCTTCACAATAATAAATTAAAAAAAACATCTTCAAAGTTGTGGGCATGTTCTGTAAATTAAATGATGCAAATCCTCAAACAATCCATGTTAATTCCCAGTTGTGAGGAAACATAACACGAAAAATGCCAAGGGGGGTGAATACTTTTGCAAGGCACTGTAATTAGAATACATGAACAAAAATAATGGACAAAACAACTTAAATACTAGAGGAGTAATCATGCAAGGCTGGCTAGTGAGATCTCCCTAAAAGCCCATGTTGGCTGTAGGGTACTTCCTGTGAGCCACTCCTTCGCCTAATGTCAGCTCTAACCCTGGATGTGTGCTTAATGCAGCAAGTGTAGGTATAATGCTTGAAGTTGGGATTAATGCAGAACTGTGCTGGTAGTGCTGCAGTTGTATTTATATAAATGTGTGTGTATCTGATAATACAGATCTGTAGGTGCGCAAACGAGTGTATCCGGTAATAAAGATCTGTATGCGTGCATCTGGGGATTTGGATCTGTGGCCCCAATGAGACAAGATGACTTGGCTACAGACCCCTCAAATAAGTTTAGTTCAAGACCCAATTCACTATTTTATTTCCCTTGAACAATAACATCACTTGCAAAAGACGCCAAACATTCGAACATTAGGTACAAATCACATTATATTCATGTAAAAACAATAAACCTTTTAATTTTTATTCATTAAAATCAAATCAAGTTTGTTTGTAAGGAAAATGTTACTGGAAACATGTACTTATGCACACCTATAGGTGCTAGCCCTTTTGCGATAAACCTGGCAGTCACAAGTTTAGCTTATAGCATATTTCTGCAAGTGATTCAGTTGTTCCTGTTAAAATACTGATCAACGGGTTTTGGTGCATCACAATAACAAATATCAAGAGGAATTAAAAGGACCAGTAGCATCCTTTCTGAAGTTTTTGCACATCCAGATATTTTAATATTGCATACTCCTATTTCCTTTTTCCCCCTTTTTATTTCTATACTTATTTATATATTTATGCATGTACAAAAATGTAAATAGACCTCGGTAGGATAAATGTTGTAAAAAAACTGATTACAGCAGTACAAATGCCATTGTAGAGATGCATCTGCACATTTTAACACCAGAATATATGAAAGCTAAAGAGATAAAATCAGATCACAAAGAGAACCGCTATACAAAATAAAATCATAGTCATGGAAAAACAAATATATTTCCCTGTAACCTCGTTGGAAGATGAGGATGTCATAGTCAGCAACCTGTGCCTTGGTACAGATCTGCCATGAAGAAAGGCTGCATACAGGTAAGACCTGTAGAGGATGCCACACTTGCCTCTGGGTCGTCACATTGCTTGTGGCACTAGCCGTTTTGGGTTTGGCATCAGTTTGCAGGAGAAACCTCAAGTCCAGAATAAACATCACTGACCAAAGGTGTGTGCGCTGGGGCCCTTTATTAGCTCAATAATGGCTGTGACAAGAGAATGGCCACTTCTCTCGCCTCATATCTGTAGCTATGCCACATACAATGGCAATGCCTTACTCAGCCCACAAATAGAGTCAATTGAGTATGTTCAAACTGATCGTTGGATAACCATAAATGACAATCTGGTGGATCAGCAATGCGGGAGTGCTTTGATGAATAATGAAATGGTATTTTGTAGATTGAATTAAAGGAGTTCAGTTGGACGTCTTTGCAATAGGATAGTCAGACCTCACCCATCCCTCACCTCTTTTCCCCCCAATTTAGAGAGTGTTTCACCAGGAACCATGCATCACAATTTCTCATTTGCCAGTGTGTCTTAAAATAATAAATTTAAAAAAATCTCAGTACAATAAGGCACTATGTATGATTATAAATCAACATGTTCTATGTCCACTAATTGCAGTGATGTTGGTTTTCTATACATTGTACCATGTTCCCCATGTAGCACCAAGTACCACAGCATATACCATCATAAAGATCAAATACATCCGGTACACCACAGCATCCAAGATTAACCCAATGCGCAGCCATTCTTCAGCAATCTCTTGTTGTTCAAAGTAACCTTCCATCAGCCTTCTCATTGAGTGCAGGTCACTGCTGATATTTCTTAGAAATAGGTGCGTCTGAACATCCCCCTGGCTCATTTCTACACATGTGAGCTGCACACTGACATTCTTCCCTGTGTAGAAGAATATTAGCAATTCAAACACATAGTTATGCTAGAAAGAACTTGCTGGTATGGCAAATGTTATGTCCCACATTAGTGATTTTGTTTAAGATTTTCCTGTATCACCCAGACTGTAAGCAAATCTTTTTTTTTGCCTGCCATTTCCACCTTTGTTACATTTTCTATAATGCCTGCCTTTCCTACTTCTAAGCCATGAACCTAGTACAAAGTTCCCAATCTTGGATTTTGCAAAACGCAAGTCTTGGATTATGGTTTGTACCTACTCCCTGGGATAAAATTAATGTTACATGTACATTGCATTGTATGTGCAATGTTATTTTTAGTATACAGCCTAGACCCCATGACCTGCTGAGGGAAATGTTTTTCTCATAGGGTTACAAAGTTTAGGATCTCATCAACATTGGTATCCAAACAACACCCGGTAGCTGATATTAGAAATGGTAGATTGTTGTAGTCCCGTAATATGTTTGTGAATGACAGTAGTAACTATCTTGACCGTGATTCCTGTTCTACTACAAAATAAAATACCATTAATTCAATTTATAAATATTTTCTTATAGCACGAGCTGTTGAAATGGATGCTCACTGCTGCTAAAAACTATTTAGAGGTGTTCCACGGAGATGCTAATTCAACATTATGCAATCAGATATTAATGAGTTCTGCAAATTTATGTCTTTTTACTCAGTGTAACAACATCTTTGGAATACATAAACGTTTTTTCAATTTGTCTCGTTGTCTAATGATAATTGATGTGTGCTCACTACATACCATGAAATGCTGATTCAGAGGTTAAGGAATTGTTCAGGGATTCAGGTTCAAATTGTTCTACTTTCTTGTAACACACCAACCTAGCAAGGTAATTCAAGACTAAAGTACGAGCCCAGATGGGCACCCCTGGGCATTGTGAGGATCCCCTGTGCAAAATATTCATCACAAAGACTGTTTCTAAAAGTCCAATAACCAACAAAGCCAGACAAAGCGAGAAATAAATTCCTGCACGAAAGGGAGAACAAGAGAGAGATCGAGAGAAAGATAAGAGTGCTAAACAAAATAGTCAGCTGTGTATAAAAACCATTATTAAGTGTGATCTTAAGCAACATAATCTGCTCTAGTACATATCATCTCAAAGAGATACACCATTACATGTGCCTCAGGAATTAAGGTGCCAAGGTCAACTTGTATTATGACCATAACCTTTATTTTATGTCCAGCATGTTTTAATACTTTCATTTTATTGAAGAAAAAGAAGGTTCAAGACATAAGACACTAGTGTAGTCAGAAAATAACAAGTCATCCAAATAATGTATTAGTGAAAATAAAGTTGAATAAATTAAAATGGTGAATGCTCCAAGTGTATCCAAACCAATTCAAAGTCAGTAATATTTTTCTCCAGCAATCAGGGAGAATCTAATGTACATGTACATGTATGGCTGCATTAGAAATGTTGGTGCCCCTTACACAGCTTAATGTCTGGGCCCCTGGGGCCCATCCTGAATACATCCACAGGGCCCACCCCCTCATTTCGTCCACAGTCCCCGAGTTCATCCACAAGGATGCAGTGTGTGTAGAGTAAATACAGAGTGTGTGTACTGAATGCAGTATGTTTGTATAGTGAAGGCAGCTTGTGCAAAGTGGATGCAGTGTGTGTGTGTGTGTAGTGGATGTGGTGTGTGTGTCGTGGATGCAGTTTATATAATGGATGCAATGTGTGTAGTGGATTTAGTGTGAAGTGATCTGGGTGCCTATAGTGTACCTTTAATCTGGCTCTGATAGTGAATTACATACTTATATGTGGTTTTTATCAATTTATTTTTTAAATAGAAGGTTGTGAGCAGGGTTCTAAGAATGTTGTTTGATAAACTAGTTCTAGCTTTCCCCTGCTAATGTATAAGGCATATGTGATTGGGAATCTTACCCCCTTATAATCCATACTATGCGCATGCATAAGAAGTGTGCCAGGTGTGCCCATGCATGCTTAAATACAGAGCTAAACTGTCCTGCCTGTTAAAAACACTGTAGGCATTTTTCATTAGCCTGTGTTAGAGTGTTATTCTTTTGAAGAAATATATATCCACACTAAAATATATGCTAAAAAAAATGTAAGAATGCCTTTGTATTTGTTCTTTTTTATTTTTTATGCATTACTGAGCTGCCTCTATTTTTTTGCCATGCAGAATAATCCCATGTTTTTGTATATTTGCTTTTGATTTTTGATGTTTGGCATAGTGTGTAGTTCAGAAACCTTCCCCTATGTTGGTTACAGTGACTTCTTATACTAATAAATGACTTTGCATTGTAAATCATAGAACTTATTGTGTATATCCCTCCTACCATAACCTGTAAATTGCTAAATAGATCTAATAGAGTATAGATGTAATGTACAAACACACAGTTTCTGTGGTTACTGTGAGTTCCCTGGTGGCATGACCTCACCTATTAGAGGAGTCCCGCTGGCAGTGGCTGGAAGCAGGTCATTGAGAATAAGCAGGAAGACAGTGTATCCCAGCAGCAGGGTCATTTTGAAAGACGCTCTGTCCACAGTATGTGGCGGAAGGTTAAAACTTAAAACATCAATCAACATCAGAAAAGCGCTAGGAATCAGCAAATTCACCACATATAGAGTAGGGCGGCGCTTCACAATAATCTAAGGGAAACAATATACAACTGATACATCAGATTTTTATAAGCCCTAATTATTTTCTGTGTAGGAGTTCATAGATCTTACTTCTTAACATTGAGGATAGCTCTGTGCTTTAATACTGCATGTACTTACATTAAATGTCACTAGATCCATTGTTTCATCAGCAAATAGGCTTTCAATTTTAACAAGTTCCCATTCACCCTGTGAGGTCCGTGCATTCCTAGCGAATTTCTCAATGATGTCAGTTGGCATTAGCAGACCAAGTTTAATGTGCTGCACTGTGAGAAGGACATAGATAAAACGTATGGAACAACCTCAAATAAGAGTAGAGAGGAATTAATATTCTATATTACAGGTACATGCTATAGGGTTGAATGGGAACGCACTAGAAGGAAGGAAATCAAGAAGCACTCACTGCAACATATGATAAAAGTATGCCTGGAGTTGGGCAATCTACGTCCCTCTGGAGGCTGAATTCAGATATTTAGGTACAACTTAACATAATTATATGAACACACCCAAAGTTCACACTTGCTGGTTTTTACTATACTGCTGAGTTGGCCATCACCACTAATAGTGGCCCTGGGCACAGTATGGGAAGTAAAACAGATCTTATGCAGGTTTAGTGTAAGTGGACAACAGAATATCGCGTCCAGTTCTGGAGAAAATGGCTTTAAAATTACAAAATTCTATTCTGATAGGATTCAAAGAGAACTTCTAAAATGGAACATTGTTCCACAAATAAAAATAACAAAGAAATGCTGACCTCCTTGATACTTTTACCATGAACGACAAAATTTAGAATTTTTAAAGAAACATTATAGTGTTAGGAAAATAAACATGTATTTTGTAAGTATGAGTATAAGTATGAGATAAAATTATCTAAGTTCTCTTGGAGATCCCTAGTGACTACCTCATCAAGAATTACAAAAAAAACATTTTTAAAACCATATATGAATCCCTGCACACTTGGTTTAAGCTTAGAAGGGATCTTTCTACATTAGCCTTTCTACCAGGGGCATCAAAGGTTCTCCTAAATGTATCCACAAATGCCACATAGCTATATAGCAAAGGACTATCATTCTTCCATAAAGGATTAGCCCACACTAAAGCATTATCAATCAATAGAGTAAAAATTAAACCCATCTTGGCTCTGTCAGTAGGATAGGGATCTCCAACATAACGTATAGGTTAAGTCACATAAGATTAAGTTTGAGAGGCGCATGTTTCTAACCCAACCAATGTATTAGTGGCTGGAGAAGTTTGTCCCTCAGATTGCAGGGTTGCTGAACAATTCAGCAATGTATGAGCAAACTGGTCCATGTGATGATCCATGCAGGGTCCAAAAGGCTATAGTAAGACCTATCATGCAGAGTGTATCCTGAGATACAATAAATAATATATACTGGTCCTTAGGGTGGCTAGGACTGAGAATAGTCTGGAATAGTCTGAGACAAGTCAGTCAAGGGAAACCACAAATAAGAAATATTGAGGAATCAAAGCAGAGTCAGGGGTTACAGAAAGGAGAGTAGTCAATAGTACCCAAGATCAGATCTGGAAATATCAACAGAACAAGTATAATGCATTCTTGGGAACTATAAAAAAAACTACAACAGGACAGAATCGAGTCCTAACTATTTATAGTTGGAGTCATTTTTCCTTCTTTCTTATTATATTCTCTTGTAAGCTTCCCATTGCTGCCAGATTTTGGTGAATGAGGCCACAGAATGGCAATATTGTGTCATCAGTTACCTGACAGTGGTTTAAATGTTGTGGTCAGAAACAGACAAGAGGTAAGTGGGGGGAGTTAAGAGATACGCAAGAAGTAATGTGGGTTGAGAGACACAAAAATAAAAGTGAAAAGAGACACATACTGTTTAAAGGGTGGATTAGGAGAAACATACAAGATGGGTCAGAATATATACACATATGGATAAGTGGGTTTAAACTACAGGGGGCACAAACATATATGTCCTGGGTGCCAAGTAACCTAGGTATTCTTCTGAAGATACCACTCCACCTTGTTGCTTTCTGCACTCTTCAAGAAATAATGAATGTTTGAAAGCTTAGAAGACAACACTTTGTCCCTGGAGAACCTATGAGGCATAAAACATGTAGAAGTGAACTCTAAGGATCAATAAATGCTGCAATAATTACAGTCCTATTTTAATTGTTTAATTTGTGTCAAAACATACCTGAGTCCAAAAAAGAGCCAAAGGTGAGGGAGCAATTCTGAATGTCAAAAGGAAAGCGAAAGATGCTGAGATTGCAGGAGCTTACCACCCTCAATGGTTTCAGGTATCGCACCTGCCCAGTATGATCCACCAGGAGATAGGGCAGATGTGGGGATTTGTCTTCATCCACACTATAAGAAAACCAAAACAGCCTAGTAATACATAGAGACTAACTACAAGAAGTCATAAAGAAGGGTAAAAAAGAGAAATTTTAAGTGTGCGAATAATGACTGGATAGGGCAGTATTGGTGGGAAGGTGCACAGTAAGTTTAGAACAACAAAAAATACAGGAAAGCATTATAATGATAATAGAGCTTGTGGCAGAATTTACATTCCACTTATCCATAGATAAAAATACTGGAGACATCAACTTCAATAACTATATTAAATAACTACTAATATGTTATGATGTCCTGTTTAATATTTTATATTCTGAAATTAAATGCAGATAGGCATGGGCAGAACTGAGAATAAAGAGTTGCTTTCGCACAGAACCCTTAAAATTGCATATTTTAGTCTAACTGGAATTTGGACTTGTTGGGAGTGTTTGATAAAAGCACAAACACTTTACATCACTATTTCCATTATGTACAGATGAATATATATTCATCTTAGTCTGAGAATTCAATATGTTCATTCCATAAGCTGAAAAAGGAAGGGCCATTTGGAGAGAACGATAATGGCGGCTCTGCTATAGACTCTGTAGCCATATACAAATTACTTACAAATCTCAGTTTCGTATTCCAGTCTCATGATAAAAGGGCAGATTTACAGCTACACATATTCTGGAGCCAACATCTCAATAGAATTACTCTCCTTCAAAAGTACTCACTTTCCTCGTTTACCCAAAAGTTAAATGTTAGGCATTAAGTGGAAAATTAAAATGTGGTAAAAAGAAAGCTATCTGTAATATCGTGGACAATGGATAAGGAAAGGGTATATTCTGCCTTTGTGGAATTGTGGTTAATACAATGGTGAATTGTGTGGTGAATAAAAGGGGGTGCATTGAGGAAACTGGCCTTGAGGCAGCAAGTAAATCCAGCTATGACCACAGCAGGTAAGGATGTTTGAAGTAACTTTTATATGTGTGTCCTTATCACTTATAATTTATTAAAGGGACACTATAGTCATCAGAACAGCTACAGCTTAATGAAGTTGTTCTGGTGAGTATAGTTTGGCACTGCAGGTTTTTTGCTGTAAAAACTGCCTTTTTAGAGGTCAATAGAGGTGCTTCCTGTGTCAGTGCTGTACAATGTGCAGCACTGACGTTCACAGACTCCACGCTCTGCATTGAGGCGCTTAATATTCCTCATAGAGATGCATTGATTCAATGCATCTCTATGAGGAGATGCCGAATGGCGCAGCGTGCCATTTTGCCGTGTATGCGCATTAGCCTCCACATGCTTTCCTATGGGAAGGCATTGGATTGGCTGAGATCATCAATTTTTATGATCTTAGCCAAGGTGACAGAGCGGGAGCGGAGCCAGTGCTGTCAGACCCATGCTGTGCTGGTAAGATTTTATTATTGTTAAAAGGGGGAAGCCAGGAGCTTAAAATGGATTTTAGCACTATAGGGTCAGAAATACACATTTGTATTGTTGACACTATAGTGTTCCTTTAATTCAGTTGCTACAAACGTTTTGGAAGAAGCTTTTTATGTCTTCTAGCTGTGGGTGTGCAAGCAAATGGGGGAAGATCAGCTAACATATGCCTAGTTAATATAGTAAAAAAAAAAAAGTGTCCAGACATGTAGTGGCACCTTTTATAAGGGATTCTTATCAAGGAGGCAGTATGCAGAAGCTGAAATATACAACAAAGTGAAAGTGGGTCTATAGAGGTATTGAGGTTCCTTCTTCTTAGGTACAAACATGGCTTGTGTCATAACCTACTAGACAAGACTTATATTAATTCTTGTGATACTTACAACTGGTGAACAAAGATATCTGGAATCCACATCTCCTCAGCAGGAACTGATATGTTCTCTATGCCACCACATAGTAAGGGATCCCATTCTGCAAATTCATTATGCCATACCTACAATAAATAAAACAGACTTTTCATTAAACTGCTGATACTGTCAGGCAGCAGCAAAACATAAGACACAAATAATTAAAGGAACACTATAGCGATAGGAATACAAACCTGTGTTTCTAACTCCATAGTATCTTTCTGCAATGCCTCCTCCTTCCCCCGTGTTTAAATGGTTAAAAAAAACATTAAACACTTACCTCTTTTCAGTTCCCTTAGCGCTGGTTCTTTCTCCTCCTCCCCCTCTGTTGGGGCAATGGAGAAACCTAATCTGCATGCGTGGCAATCTATGCTTTGTTATGGTAATTTTCAAGACGCTGAGCATGGTTTACATTGCAGAGTTAAGAGGTAAGGAGGTAAGCGACACTGCTCCAGAGCACATCAAAGAGATGATGTGGTCTGGTTGCCTATAGTATCCATTTTATAATGTCTTAAACAAAGGGTGATATCACACCAGGGATATAACTCTTATTTTTGAACAAAGTCATAGATTATACAAAAATGCAGGTTGTGTTAAAAGCAACACTGAAAAGTTATTGGTTGTTAAAGAGCCTGTTTTACTTCTATATTGCCTTCTTGGGGCTCGTTTCCAACCTTGTACTCAATTAAATTCCCATTGATCACATGTATTTGCTACCAAATAATCTATTTAATAGTTTGGATTGATTTCATTACTGCCATTTAATGCTTACTGGAAGCAGAAAAATATTGAATCTGAAGACTATATTTTACATAGAAAATTTAGGCTTTGGTGATTCATTTGGAAATATTTCCCCAAATAAAGGAAAACTTGGCTGTATAGTAAAATCATCTCAATAAAGTTTATATTTTACTATTATTTATATAGGGGGTCCTTCCACTTGTCTCCTTCATTCGTGGTAATAGTTCTAATGTTAGGATTATGCCCTGTATTTGGAGGGGGTCTGTATATTACAAACTTTTCTACTCCCTTGTCGGTAGGCAGTTGCTATTAAATTAGTAATAAGTGGGGGAACGTAAAGGGCTCCCCAGCCCACACCTTTGGGCATTGAGTGGGGGGCTGCTATTGTTAAATAAACAAGGGGTTGTACATGCCATTGTCCAATGCCCAAAATTGTCCAAGGTTACCCTGGGTGGCTTGAAGTCCCTAGCCATCCCCCAATAAAAATACCCTGCCTACCCCCTTACCCTAATAATAGAGAGGGGGACTCAATAAAATAACTAAATTGATGTCTTCTCTCTTCCTAAAACTTGTTTTCCTCAGCCCTAAAAGGGTCAAATAAAAATCCAGGCCAAATAAAAATAAAAGACCCAATCGCACAAAACCAACTGCAAAAAAATAAAACAATGCCTACAAAATAAACCCATGTTGGTCCATTGAGATCTCCACGTAGACTGAGCTTGCACAGAGGGAAAAGGGTTTTCCCACACTATACATTCCTATTCAGAATGCTCTGATTGAATGGCTTGTACATCAGCCAATAAGACTGCTCTGACAGGCTTATCTCAAGACTTTGGTGAGAAGATTGAAGTTCCGATAGATGTGCTTCCGAAGCACATTTATCAGAGGATTTTTTTTCAGGCAGCCAACCAATTTACACAGAAAATTTATCAGGTTGGGCTGCTCGAATTTCAACTGGTAACAAATCCAGTTAAGAATCAATAAAAGTATCAGCCCTAAAAAGTTTATATTTATTTTCTGCTGATATAAGAAAACTGAGGCCCTTGTCGGTAAATATCTGCTGTAACCAGTAGATAATAGTGACTACAAATTATCAACAAGTTTCCAATCTTGTTGCTCTTTTTTTTTTTAACAGCCTAACATTAGTATCCACTGCCGCAACCGATTACAGCATAGCGATTACCCAGCCTGGAACAAAGTGAACCCTTTCAGTGTTTCAGTAAAGAGCTGCACAATACACTGCTCTCTGCTGGGGCATGGAAAGACACAGTAGAATAAATTAATAAATACATTATAAAAATTGTTGGGTCACATAGATCATAATAATACTGAATAAGGCCCCAACCCATCATTCAATTCATTGGCAGTGGAGTGAAGAGTAATGAAAATGGAGCAAAGGAGATGTCCAGTCTCCTGGCCCACTTTAATTATTATGGCTCAATAAGACATTCTTACTTTAGGTAGGCTTAACTGGTAATTGCTTGTTGCTAATAGGGGAATTTTGAAGATGGGAAATAACTGGTACTTGCTACGGTTGGCGAAAACTACTTTAGATAATAATAGCTTTTACTCACCATTCGGAGCCATAAGAACGAAGTTAACAGTTGATCTTTCTCATTCTGAAACAATAAATTAACATTATTTTAACAAACATTGTTTGGAAATGTTTACAGTGGATGAAAGAGTAAGGGTGACTAATTCAAGGGACTTTCCCAGTTAACTGCAGAAAAAGAGCTCTGATAATTCATACCACACAGACATACTCCGGAGTTAGGAGATTATGATAAACTAGATCCACAAGAATTTAAAGTAAATAGTGACATGTAACGTTATTAAATGTACCTAATGTCACAATTTAAGCTCATGAGACTGGACCCACAATGCAATGGTAAACTCACCCACACAACACCCATAAGAGGTTTGGCAAGGGAAGCAGGGGAGAAATTACTTCTGTGCATTAACATACATGGTTTGTAGACTGCAGCCTCACAACATTTTTTTCTGTGGATTAAAGTAGCAGGATATGTGTTCAGATGTCTGTGAGCATAGTACTGCTAGAGTTAGACAGAAGGAACGATTTGTGCAGGACGTTTTCTAGTCCAGCACTGTATGTATTAAGCATGGACTGGTGGGCCACAATATAAGTGTTCTGAGCCCTGGTCAGAACCACTAGTATATTTCCTGGTAGACAGCAGTATATGGAGCAAGAAGGTGCCAGCCCTCTTCTGACTTCACCATATGTAGAATGGTGTCTTTTCAGAGAAAATGCAGTGTTTACATTACAGCCTAGTGATAACTCCATGGGCCACTCCTTAGATGGCTGCTAGAGCTGCTTCCTATCTCAGTCTTGCCTAGTGTGCATCACAACATTCAGTATATCCACCCTCTGTATGCAGACACTGAACTTTTCTCATAGAGATGCATTGATTCAATTCATCTCTATGAGGAGATGCTGATTGGCCAGGGCTGTGTTTGACTTGTGCTGGCTCTGCCCCTGATCTGCCTAGTTGACAGTCTCAGCCAATCCAAATGGGAAGCACTGTGATTGGCTCAGAACAACACTTCTGATGATGTCAGCAGTCAGCTTGCACGTCTGAGGCAGACAGAGGCAGAGCCAGCAGCTTCAGGCTTAAATACAAGTAAGATTTTACTATATTGAGGGAGGCAAGAGAGGGCCAGGAGGGCTAAATGGTGGCTTTCACACTATAAGGTCAGAAATATATGTTTGTGTTTCTGACAATATAGTGCTCCTTTAAAGTACATTCTATATCTGCTGGGTGGGGGATATCCAACACTGAGCTGTTGAAAGCTCAGGAATGGTGAATGTAAAAGGGCATCTGCTACTGGATGTGAACTTTAAGTACCATCTTGTTTCATATCATACATCTTTTTAGTAAAATCGAGCTCCTAGTGCTTTACATATAGCCCACTCATAACCACTCAGACAGTCAGTAGCACATCCTACACCAGGGGTAGGTAACCTTTTAGCAGCATTGTGCCAAAATAAGATTGTGATGTCCAGTAGCGTGCCGGTCCTATTTTTTTAAATTGAGGTGTGTATGTTGCCATATTCTGCTTGTGTTATTTATACTGCAGTTGCTTTGCATTGTTGTATTTGTGTGTAAATGAGATATTATATTGTATATGTTCACAAGTAGTTTGTGGTGTTGTGTGTGATACCTATAAATGTGGGCTGTGTATGGGGGCTGCTTGTGGAATTGTGTTTCTGGATGGATATGTCACATTGTGTGTTTGGTAGTGTGTATGTGTGTGGCTGCTTGTGGTATTTCATGTGAGAGGCTGCATGTGGTGTTGTGTGCATGTATGTGGATTGTTAGTGGTGTTGAGTTTGTGGGGATTGTGTGCTGTGTTTGTTTGTGGGCTGTTCATGTTATTTGTATGAGGGGAGGGTTATTCTGCATTTCTATGTAGATCTAGCAGTTTGTCTGGCTTTCCTGGGGTCCAATCTGGTCAGGTACAGGTCAAGGACAGAAGCTGCAAGGGCAGCTGCAGGCTGCTCTACTACAGTGTGGAATCTGAGATCACTTCCTCTATGTGCTGCAATGCATAAATTTAGGATTGTCCTTCACCACCTTTTTGTATAAGCAGATATCTGAAGTTTCACTGGCACGCCTAATAGGACAGAGCCTGTTTGGCTCTAGCAGCCTTGAGTGCCGTGCAAAGACACCTCGAGTGCCGTGCATGGCACACGTGCCATAGGTTGCCTACCACTGTTCTACACCTTATCTCTCCTCAGCACCAGGGACAGGAAAGAAAATAGTTGCACTCAGATACATAATGGTCAAAAACTGTGCTATCATTCTAATGTTTAACATTCACAATCTATAGAACACAATACATACCACACCAAGGATTGCATACAGAGTGATGGAAATATTGACAATAGTTGGCTTTTTCAGGTCCCTTACAGGACGTAATGCTTTCCTTAGGAACACTGGTCTGAACGCTTCAAGGAAATCTTCTGTCTTCCCTCCTGTGCAATTAATTGTACCAGGTGCATCAAAGCCTATGCGAGATTATTGTAAAAAAAAATATTATGGATACACAGTCAGAATTTATACATTTTCATAATTTGTACTTCTTGTAATAAAAACAAGTACTGATCCTTTAAAGTGATATGGTAATCTTGTAGGATAAAGATGCAGGCTTTGTTAGACATGCTGTTTAATAAATATATATATATATATATATATATATATATATATATAAAATTAACTTACTGAAGTGTAACAAAAGGTCCATTCTTTGTAAATCTACCCTTTCATCAAAGTGTTTAAACCAACACTCTGCTCAATAAATCATAATTATTGGGAAAATTACATTTTCTTATATTCCAGCATGCAAAAAAGCAGAGAAAGTAAGAAAAAAACAAGAAAATAAGTTAACATATAAACTTGAAAACATAAACAGCCTGATCTAAGAAACTCATTTTCTTTCATTTTGAACTAAATGCAAAATAGTGAAGTATTGCAGTAGTTCTGTTAGCCCAATAAAAAGATATTAAAACCTACAGTAATACTTCAGCATTTTGCATCCACATTACTAGACTAATACAGCAACTCAAATATCTTGACTATTTTAAACTGGAACGTATATCTTTGTGGCCAAGGTTATATATGGAAAATTTTCTTTATAAAGATCAGTCTCTCTGATTTGTAATCCTCATGCATCTTAAAGCCAGAGCAAAAGAGAACTAGGATGTTTACTGAATGGCAAACCATTTTGAATTAGCCTCCCTCAGTGCATTTAAGTGTGTTTTATCTCCATAAGCCATAGCTTGCTGCTCTGCCATTAGCAAGTTCAAAAATTTTGAATACATCACTTATAAAGATATTATTTCATAACAAAAACCACACATTACACACCGCTGCTCTCACAATCACTGTCCATTTATGAAGGCCTGCTTATAGTCTTACCTTGTGCCAAGAGTATCATAGCTAGGAGGACAATGGCTCCAGTAGTGACCCCTGGTCTACCTCCTATGATATTCTGCATGCTTTAGTTATGAATTGTATCCTTTTGCCATTCTAGATAGAACTGCCAGTTTTATTAGCAAAGGGGTTTACATCATGGCCAATTGAAAAAAGCTGCGTGCATGTCAGCTCGTGGCTTATACAGGAGGTCAGAGTAATTGGTTGGGGGTTCATTAGGGCTCCTTTTCTTTGAGTTATTTGGATTATGAGACAAGTAATAATGATCTAGACTGCCTCTCTCGGACTGTAAAGATCTGTAGTTCCCAAGAGACTATAATAATTACATTGTCAGAAATGCACTTTGGGAACTTGATTGCCCCTGAACTAACAGACAGAAGATCAGAGAATTCACCCTGACTTGGGGACATTTTCTGATCAAATTAGACACCAAGCTCCTAATATGCTGACATTGAAAAAATCTAACATTTCCTTTGATGAGTTATGGTGAGTGCTTAATAAGTAGTTTCATATTGATAAAAAAAATTCTTTATTTGACAGGATTTTCACCTTTATTGCTATTGCAACTTGCAAAGCATGCAGAGGGCACTCACATGTGGGTAGGCAGACAATGGGGATCATCAGAGAAGCAATGTCAAATATAGAGAAAAATATTTATGACAATTCAGAAGTAATTAGAATGACTATCCTGTGAAATGTAAATAAGCACTGCCAATATGATCTGAATGTGCGGCGAATCAGTGCAGTTCAATCAATCGGTAGGGTCCTGAACAATCAGGCATCAGGGACTGCATTCCAATTCCTGGTGGTCCAAATGTAAAATTAAATTAATAGATAAAGAACATAAAAACAAAAGATTCACAAGTTCATTAGACACTTAAGTGACCAGGCTAGACCCAGCAATATATATATAAATATATATAAATATATATATATATATATATATATATATATATATATATATATATATATATATATATATTTTAAGGACAGGAGGTGAATATTATGCTTAAAGAGACACTATAGTTTCAGGAATACAAACGTGTCCCCTGTCAGCTAAATAAAAGGTGAGTTTAAGAATAGGCTATAAAACAGGTATATCCACAAATACCCCCATCTTTTGTGCTGCTGTAATAAAATAAACTAGATAAAAAAGAAAATCTAATAAAGATGAGGAATTACATAATTTAAAATAAGCCAAACTTCAAAACCAGAAAAAGGAAAATAATAATAATACAATCAATTTCTTTTTTAAACTGAAAAACAAAAGCAGAACAACCATAGAGGGTACAATAGTTAGGTGGAATAATATTTGTCTCCTGACTTATAAATCTATATTTTCTGATGCCAAAGGACTAGAAAAATCTTATGACAGACAGGAGGATATGCAAGTTAAATGCCAATGAATACATAATAATAGCATAGCAATATTAAGTAGTATAATTACATAAGTTATGTTATAATATAGGCATAGAAACATAGAGATAAGGTTTTAAATAAAATGTCTAAAAATCAGATTCTGAGGACCATTCAGTTGTTATTAGAGAAGGAATCCCCCCTCCCCCCCATTTGGAGTCTTGGTGGAAAGTGCCCCAAATTGAGAAGAGTCAATGCCAATGCCATGGCCATTGTTTGTCTGACACATCCAGCTAAAGTGGAGGAAATATGGAGATAATGTTTACAAAATTAAACGAGTGGTTGAGAAAAGGAACGATTAAACAATATCTTTAAATAAGAGTTCAAAATAACGGAAAATTTACTTATATTTACCGATATTTCCCCCCTCCCCCGGTAATAGGCAATGGCAGCACTACTACTGGGTTAGCGCCACCTACCACTCCCGTTGAGCAGGAAGAATACATTTTTTATAAATACCTCTCCTTTAGGCCCCAAGCCTATTACCGGGAAAGGAAAATAAGATTAAGTATAAGTAAAATTTAAATTTTTCCAGCCATGGCCATGGTAGCACTACTCCTAGGACAAGCCCAAGCTAAACAAACAAACAAACAAAAAAAAAAGAAACCAACATATTGTTGCTGCAAACTTTTTTTTTTTTTTTTAAATTCTTTATTTTTGTTGTGCAAAAGATTGACATTCAAGTTGTTAAGCCACGACAGTAAATACAGGTATTGCAAGATGTATAAAAAAAATTAAAAAATTGGTGTGCAAAATTTACGAATTCTTATAATATTCAAATATTAAAAACTCTTCCATATAATCTTTTAAAATAAAAAAAAAAAACAGTTACAACCAGTGACCACTATTTAGTAAATAGGTGCCCAATCAGAGTGTGTTATAAATGTCTAAAATACTGCAAGATGTATAAAACTGTGGTATGCGATAGGGCTGCACTTTTTTTTTTTTAGATAATAAACAGGCTGATTCAAGGTATGTCAGCTAATGAGAGGGCAATAAAATTGAATAAGACATATTATTTAGGCTGACATTAGAGTAGTCAAAGAAACAAGAAAAAAATTGTGTAACACGCTAATCTATAGTTAACTCCGTAGCTTAGTAGCCGCTGGGAGCTATTCTCGGGGTAGGTGCCTATGAGAAGAATAGATTACAATATAATAGTTAAACTAGCATGCCTATCATGAGATTCATCAAAAGCAGCAAACGGAATGTCTGCTAGGTAGGCTGGAGTGGTCTGGGACAAATGCCTCCAAGGGTAGGATCTCACGTGGACCAATCTGGCTATTTCAATTAAGGGAACCTGATGGGCATAAGAACAAAAAAACTATAACGATAAAAAATTATAACAATAAAAATTGAAGACATTAACCACAGGCTATGCAGTCGGACAGTGCTTGGTAACAGTGGTGTGTAATGCAAGTCCCTGTGGCCGTTTTCGGCAGTCAGCCGATGCCCACCCTGGGGGCCTGAGATGCCAGCCTAGTGTGGAGGTGCAGCTTCAGCAATATGCTTATATGCAGTGGGTCAGCCAGTAGGTATATAAGAGCAACTTCCAGTCCTCTGCAGGAGGTGTTGGGCCTGGGCGAGCTTCCAGGGCTTTCCTTCCAGGACTGTGGCATCAGGGTGTCTGAGTTCTCCCATTGCAGGTAGCAGTGTAAGGTCCTCCGTCTGCATCGTGGATGCAATCTCCGATGGTGGTGTCTCGTGGCCTTTAGTCTCTGGGGACTTTGTGCCAGAGCCATATCCCTTCTGTTTCTCTGCCCCGTAAGGTGTACACGTTTGCGTGTGACAGCGTGGGAAATCACCTTGCCCAGCAGAGGCCTTACCAACTCCTCTCAGTGGAACCCCTGAAACTCCTGTGCTGACCGAGCAGCTGGTGTCATCATTCTCAAGCGGGCCGCCAGTTTCGCCAAGAAAAACTCGAAGATAGCATCCAATGATGTGAGGTAAGCAGGTCGTTTGTAGCTGGCCCTGTAGGGCCAGACCATGTGCGTCAGCCATCTTGCAGAGCTAGGCCCCGGGTCAGGAGTGTTGCAGAGATCACAGATTGCTTTGTTGGGTCTGGGATAACCACCGCTGGCCCAGGGGGTGGGGGAACACATGGTCATGTCGAGGATAAGTGGGAAACCGGCCATGTCTCTCACCCCAGTGCAAATAGTAGGCCGCAGTAAGCTAGGGGGCTCAGAAAAAGCAGAGCAAAGCTAAGTAAGTCAGTTCAGAAGGTTGTCACAGCTGTCTCCCTAAATCATGGGTAGATTTCAGCTGCTCAAGGTCAATATTTTATGCTTTATAAGCTTATATCACAGGATAATCTGAGGAGCTCCCTCAACCTGTGTCCTGCTCGTTTGGCGGTCAGGACCCACCCTCTTCAAACAAACTTTTATTAAACTTATCCAATTTCTGAAGCAGAAAGGACTGATGTGGAAAATTCTGTTCCTTGAGAGGAACTAGCTGTCACATCCTGTTCCTAGCTGCAGATCATTCTGGCAATGGCTTCTGGTATCCAGTACTCTTTTTACAATTCTTGTTTTGTTTTCCTTGGTTTTTCTGATTTTCTATTCCATGTCTGGTTTTCTTTATGCTGGGTTTTCTGGGTTCATTCCTGTATTACGTTTCTCAGTTACAGGCAGACAGTCACAGAGCCAAACACACAGTTAAAGGCAGACAGGCACACAGTCACAGGCAGACAGTCACACACACAGTCACAAGCAGACAGTCACACATACTCCATTACAAGCAGACAGTCATACACACTCCGTTACAGGCATGCAGACATTCATGCACTATGATAGGCACACACTCAGTTAAAGGCAGATAGTCACACATACAGGCACAGGCACACACAACGGCACAGCTACAGCGACACACACAGGCAGAAAGTCACACACACAGACAGTCACACACACACACACACACACACACACACAGGCGGGCAGACAGTCACACACAGGCAGTCAAACATACAGTCACACACACAGGCAGACAGTCACACACACACAGGCAGACAGGCAGACAGTCACACACACACACACAGGCAGACAGTCACACAGACAGACAGTCACACACACACAGGCAGTCACACACACACACAGGCAGTCACACGAACAGTCAAAGAGTAACACACAGGCAGGTAGTCACAGTCACATACACACAGACTTACCTTTTTCCATTATGGCTAGAAGGGGGAGTGGATGCAATTGGTTGTTGGGGAAGCAGGGGCGCCTTCCTGCTTCCCTCTTCCTGTGCAGCTTCTGGTATGTATAAGCCCCAACTCCGCCGCACGTTAAGCCCTGCCGCACATTAAGCCCCGCCCCTGAGATGTTTTTTTTCTTTTTAATAGACCCGGGTGGAGAATAATTAATCCTCCATCCGGGTACCTATTTTAGCTCCCCTGTTGTTACGGGCAAATGCAAATATTACAAGTTTTAGAATGAAATGTTGTATTTCTTAAACTGTGTACTTTGTCTTTAAGAGATATTGCAAACTGACAAGGTGTTAGAAATGGAACATATTGTTTTTCATAACTGTTTCTTTAAGCAATAACCTCAGTGCATAATATGTTTGCGCCATTTTGTCCCAGACGAATTACAATAACAATAATGCATAAACAAGCTTCAAGGCTATGCTACGACTCTTGCAGTACACAATATACTGTGGTAACCCCAAGTTAATGGAACTTCCCCAAATCCGGGAATCTCCCACGACTGTACACTTACGACTTAGTATAAACAACAGATAACCTATTCAGACTTTAAGATGCCATCTTGAACTAAGTCAGGAAAATTTCCATGACGTATACACCCTTTAGTTATGGCCTTGTATGTTTGCCAAATTAAGGGAGGTCCTAAATTGAATAAAGTAAAAGAAGTGTTACTTTTTCATATTTGAACTACAGTAACCTAAAATGGAGACACCTAAGGTATAAATAGGTGTACTTTTAAATGTTAAGATACAGAGGAGAGACTTGGAGACAGACGCTGCTCCATCTTAAAATGACAGAGAGGCTGACATGTTGACATGTTCAGAAGGGTATGTTAATCTATTAATGATATTTGCAAGCATGTAATTTAATCTTATAAACTCTGCTATAATGGATTTTATATTTTTATATAATAAATATCCAAAAGACAAAACGATTGCTTCCAAGACAATCCTTATTTTATATTGTATTCTCAATTATTTATATATGTTAAATAGAGGATCTCTTACACTATATAAAATTATGGCTAAGATATCTGTATGGCTAGCCCTACTAAGTTCTATGCTTTAAGACATTATAGTGGTAAATAAGGGAACCACCAGCGGTTACACTGTCAGCCGGCCATGTGCGAGCTGTGTCCTGCCCTGCCCATGTTATGTTTTTAATTTTTTTTTTTTTTTTCAGATTTGTATTTTATTATTTCTTCAATATGTGGTCAGGGGTACAGAAGGAAAAAAGGTATGTTAGCGGGGGGATACAAAGTTTCAGCATTTGACATAACCATCACATCCACAGAATTTTGCGGAACCTGAGGGAATACATGGGGGGATTGGTACATGCATGCATTTCGTCATAGTAAATTAGGTATATGCGTAAGCTGTTTAATTGTTAGATTGTGTACACTGTCGCCTAAGCGTCCATGTGGTCTGGCTCTTAAGTGAGAGCCGTGCCAGGGAATCCTCCCGTAACCAAGGTTGTGTGCATGAGTGGTCTGCTCAGCCGACGTAGTTATTATTGTAGGCTGTACAGCCTGTGGTGGTTCTTGCGCTAATTAGTCCCAGGTATGCGGGTTAGGAAGTGCCGGAGTTATGCCTCATTTTTGATGAGTACGTTGGTGTATAAGTGGGTAGCCCCAGTGATAGGGCGAAAACTTGGTAGGGGATGGGGGGGGGCTGGTTAAGCACGGGGGGGGTGAGGGAGGGGAAGGGGAGTGGTAGAGAGTACTGGTGGAGTGTGGTACAAGCATTGTTTGTGTACTGTATGAGTCTTGCCCTCATCGGAGAACAGGGTCTTACCTGGGTACGCCTCCCTTTTCGTCCACCGCCCCCTCCCAGTCTCCCCAGCCCATATCAAATGCAAGTTTTTTTTGTGGGGATATTATTGCCATTCTTTCATAGATTTTGTATTGAGTGAGTTTGGTTTGGAGTTGGGCTAAGGACGGGCAGGTCTGTGATTTCCAGTGTAGTGCTAGCAAGTTCCTTGCCGCCAGTATTGTAAGGGCTGCAATCTGTTTTTGTGTTAGGGTGAGGTCGGCTGGGAGTAGGAGCAGGAGGCACGAGGTTTTTGACAGTTGGAATTTAGGGATGTGAAGTTGGTCTAGTGTCATTGATACGGCGGTCCAAAGTGGTTGGATACTACCGCAAGACCACCACAGATGCTCCAAGGTCCCTGTAGTTGCGTTGCACCTCCAGCAAGTTTTGGGCGTATTGGGGTATATGCGGTGGAGTCTCTGTGGAGTCATGTACCAACGGTAGAGGAGTTTTTTGTGGGCCTCAATGTGCGTGTAGCACTTTGTCCATTTAGAGAGACCATTGAGGGCGCGTAGCCAGTCGCAGTCCGTCAGTGCTATCCCGCAGTCTGTCTCCCAGTGGAGTTTGTAGGGGTGCAATGTGGGTGTTGAGAGTTCCTGCCATGCCTTGTAACATAGCGTGAGTGTTTTGGGTTTTGTGGGTGTTGCCCAGCATCTGTCTAGGAGTAAGTGAGAGGTGAGTCTAGTCGTGACTGGTAATGTATGTATTGGAGGTGTGTGTGCTTGTATCACACTTTTTAGTTGTAGGTAGGAAAAGATAGCTCTGTTTGGGAGTTGCCACTGCGTTTGTAGGACTGGGAATGGTAATATGCCTTTGGCGTCTAAGAGCTGTGATATTGTTGCCACTCCCGCCGTGTTCCAGTCCTTAAGGGGAATGTTGGGTACTATTGTTCTCAGGACTGAGATTGGGGATTTGGCGTGTAGTGTGTCCTTGTGGCCTATAGTCTCCATAAAGGTGTCCCATATGGATATTGTGAGTTGTGTGGTTGGGAACAGGTCCGTGCGTTTAGTTCTAAACTTCCTCGGTGTCCATAGGTAGTCGGTTAGAGACATGCCTGTAAATTGTGTTCTTTCCATGTCTACCCACTGTAATGTGCCTGGTGTAGCGTGAAGGAGTATGCCCGTGGAGAGGATCGCTGCTCTGTGGTATTGTCTCAGGTTTGGGAGACCCACTCCTCCAAGTCGTGGAGCGGTCTGTAGAAGTGCTAGGGATACCCGGGGTCTTTTCCCGCTCCAGATATAAGCGCCACATAATTTTTGTAGTGCTTTACAAAATTGGGGCGTGATCCCTAACGGTATCATCCTAAAGATATAAAGGATACGCGGGAGGATCATCATTTTGTACGTGTTAATTCTTCCCAACCATGAGATTTTTGCGTGTTTCCATCTGTTCATTTCCGCTTTACATAATGTAAGTAGAGGTTTGTAGTTTAGTTGTGAAGTGGCAGAAATTGTGGGTGCTATCTTTATTCCCAGGTATGTGAGAGAGTGTGGTTTCCAGTCGAACTGGTATGAGGTCTGGAGTGTGTCCAGCAAGGGCTTTGGCAGGTTTATTGGTAGGGCTTGGGTTTTGTCTTGATTTAGGCGGTAGTAGGAAATATCGCCAAATTCCTGTAGGAGGTCTAACAGGGGGGAAGGGAACTTCGTGGGTCTGACAATGCTATAAATATGTCGTCGGCAAACAAGGCTAGACTATACATTTTGTTGCGGATATTGACTCCTAGTATCTCGGGGTGTGTTCGGATCTTTTGTGCCAGGGGTTCTAGGGCAAGTATGTACAGAAGGGGCGACAAGGGGCATCCCTGGCGGGTGCCATTTGTGATGGAGAATGCAGTAGAGAGGAACCCTCCGTGTGATACTTTCGCTGCTGGACGATGGTATAGAGCCATAATGCTAGTTATGGTGGATTCTGGAAAGTTAAATTGTGCTAATACTTTAGTCATATAGGCCCAATTTAGGCGATCGAAGGCCTTCTCCGCGTCTAGGGCGAGGAGGAGGCCTGATGATCTGTTGGACTCCAATGTGGAGACCATGTTTAAAATTTTTCTGGTGTTGTCCGAGCCTTGGCGGCCTCTGATAAACCCAGATTGGTCGTTGTGGATTATTTTATGCAGGAGGGGGGCGAGTCGGTTGCTGAGAAGCTTCGCGTATAGCTTGGCATCTCCATTTAGAAGGGATATAGGCCGGAAGTTTTTGCATTGTGTAGGGGGTTTGCCGGGTTTGGGGAGAGTAGAGATATGTGCCAAGAGCATTTCTTCTGGGAGCGCACCTGTTGCAGCGCATTTGTTGACTAGTTGAAGGAGCAGTGGCGCTATGGTTGGTGAGAAAGTTTTATAGTATTCATTTGTTAAACCATCGGGGCCCGGTGATTTGTGTGCTGGGAGTTGAGAGATGGCTTTCGTGAGTTCGTCTAGAGAGAAGGGTCTTGTCAGGGGTGCTAGGTCGTTTTCTGTCAGTTTGGGTAGATCTAAGGCAGCTAGGAAGTCATCTATTTTGTCTGGGGTTGGTATGTGCACATTGGGGTCTCGGTTGAGGTTATATAGTTCGCCGTATTATTGAGCGAATTGGTCTACAATGTTTTGTGGGTTCGTTACTTTTATGCCCTTGGGGTTATTTAGGAAGGCGATCCTGGAGGCGACATTCCTTTTTTTCAGTTGTGATGCCAATATTGCACCAGCTTTGTTGCCACTCGTAAAGAAATTCTGTTTCAATTTCCTGAGTAGATAAGTTTTTTTTTTTTTTTTTAAATTCTTTATTTTTCTCAAATCACAGAAATTATCAACATGGGTTCATATAGCGTATGTTGTTTGAGCATTTCTTGAACATCATATTAGAGAGTAGGTTATACATCAAAAGAGAAATAGGAGTCGCGTAGCGTAGCTTGTGAGTGTGTTAGTGAATTGAGGGGTTTTTGTTTTTGTGGTGTATGTCTGCCTAAGCGTCGTGTGAGTGGTGTAGCCACATAACTGCTCGTCATAAGTGCGGTACTGGTGGTAGGTATGTCCGTGGCTAGTGTGGATGCCCCTCCCTCGGAAAAAGGTAGTGGGACCTGTGCGCCATGTAAAGGTAGGGAAGGGGTGGGGAAGAGAGATTTTCTGAAGTGTTGCCATTAAGCGCCTGGATGGTTTTTGTGTGTAATCTATGCCATGTGTATACGGGTGAAGAGGGTGGTACTGCTGAGTATGTCTTATTCTGAGCGGCAGTGTTATTAATCGTCTCTGTATCCCCGCTAGCTGAAAGCATGTACCATAGATAGAAGTATGGCAAAAGTAAAACAATAAAAGCATATCAATAATAATAATAATAAAAAAATAAAAAAAATTATAAAACAGTCGAGAAAATGTAAATCCGACTCATGGTCGTGGGGTCACCAGGATTGGTAGGGTTAAATAACTGGGACAGTTCCTGGCTGTGTAGAGGGTCTTGGGTGAGGGCTCAGCAGCCACTGAAATCCGACATCCCCTCAGTCAAGTCACGGGTCCGGTGGGCTTGGGTCCTGCCTCCCGGGGTATGAACTCCCTGATCGCAGCTAAGTCCACTTGTGACAGGTTTCTGCCTTCAGGGGTGGCATGAAGGGGGAGTCCCAGCGATCGCAAGTGGTCCTCCAGCTCCTGATATGTTTCTGCATGGAGAGTCGTGTCTTGGGCTGTTATTAGGACCGTGCGGGAGGGGCCCCATCGATATGGCACCTCGTTAGTGCGTAGCTGCTGAAGTAGTGGTCGTAGGGATTGGCGCCACAGGAGTGTGTTCTTAGCTAGATCCGGGAAAATGAGCAGTGAGGCGCCCTCAAAGGTAATGGGCGTCTTTCCCCTCACCGCGGCTTGCAAGAGGGCCTTGTCCTGTAGGGTGCTGAAGCGGAGGATGAGGTCTGGTGAAGTGGAGGATGGTGCGTTGGTTGGTTTGGGGAGACGGAACATACCGTCTAGCCTCATGTTCTTGGCTTGTTTCGGAGAGAGGTGGGCCGCGAAGAACCGCCTGATAAAGTGAGGTAAGTCCGACAGTCCCACATTTTCCGGCACTCCCCTGAGTTTTAAGTTGTACCTTCGCCTCTGATCCTCCATGGTGTCAAGTCTGCGGTCAATCTTTAGCCGATGTTGATCCAGAGTAGCTAGGCCCTTCTCCACCACAGTAAGCCGGTTATCATGCACGCTCTGGGTAGTTTCGAGTTGGGCCAGTTTGGTAGTCGTGTGTTCGACTGCCTTTTTGAGGGGGGCTAGGTCACCCGCCAAGTTCGCGCGGAGTTCCGCCAACATTGCCTTAAGTTGCGCTGCGGTGACCGGGTCCCGGCCTGAGGCGGCCTCCAGTGGGACGTGGCCCTGCTTCGTAGCCAGAGTGGACTTTTCCATCGGGGCAATAGCCATGTCCTCCGAGGAATAGGAGGAGCAGTCGTCCGCCAGCGCCATTTTGTCCCATGCGGCCCTCTGTGAGCTCCGGAATAGGTCCCCGATATCACGGCCCGGTGGGCTCTTGTCTGGCTTTGATTTTTTGTTTTTACGGCCCATTCTTGTTCCTGCAGTCAGGGAGCTGTTTTCTGCGAGGTTAGCAGGTCTCTTTTTCTGCAATTTCAGCCGTTTTTGGGTAGTTGTAAGCGGAGCATAGAGAGCTTGCTACCATCCAGGTTCGCTGCTAAGCTCCGCCCCGTAGATAAGTTGTTTTGGCTAGCTCAATGTTGTTTAGCTTGTTTTGGAGAGCTAGAAGTTTTGATTTTGTGGTTGGGTTTGGGTCTCTTTTGTTTGAATGTGTTAGGGTTCGGATTTCTTCCAAGAGATTAGTATACTCGGCCATTCTCTGCTTTTTAGCGTAGCTGGCATGTTTTATAAAACTGCCTCGTATGACCGCCTTATGTGCCAGCCAAATGTTCGATTGCAGAATCAGCGGTCGTGTTTTCCGCTATATAGTGTTGTAGATCTTTCGTGATCTGGGATATTATTGCTGGGTCTGCTAATAGGGATTCATTAAGTCTCCAGGAGCCAGATCCTTTATTGGTAAACGCTTCTTTAATGCTAAGTGTAATGGGAGCATGGTCGGACCACGTCATTACCCCAATTGTCGCTCCTTCTATTTGGGCCATCAATGTGGTGGGTATGAGGAATCTATCTATCCGAGAGTAGCTGTTGTGAGCTGCTGTATAGCATGTGTGGTCTATGTCTGTTGGGTGTAAAATGCGCCATGGGTCTACCATACGAGCTGCGGTCAGAGTGGAGCATATTTTTGTTGTTAGTGTAGTTCTGTGTCTGAGTGTGCAACTCTTGATATAGGCTGTGGTGGAGGAGTCTAGTCTGCTGTCTAATAGACAATTCGTGTCGCCTCCAATGATCACCTCCCCATGTCTATACATATCAGTTAGAGCCAAGATCATTTGCAAAAACTCGTTTTGGTTTTCGTTAGGGCTATATACATTGATCAGAGTATACGGTGCATTATTCAACATACATTGTAAAATTAAATATCGACCTTTTTTGTCACTAATTTTCCTAACTAAGGAGAAGGCCACGTCTTTGCTGATCACTGTGGAGACTCCTCTTTTCTTAGCTGAGTAACATGTATGGAAATCGTGAGGATACCATTTTGAGGTAAATTTGGGTCTAGAGTTCCATTTGAAATGGGTCTCTTGGAAAAATGCCACTTGTGCCCCACATTTTTTCGCCTCTTGCAAGGCTAGCCTCCGCTTATTGGGGGAGTTGAGCCCTTTGGTGTTTAGGGACATGAGCTTAATCACCATCTATCCAACGTGTTGGATGCTGTGGCAGGGGTTTGTGTTTCTTAATCGAGCTATTGGTTACCCAAACTCGGCGGCATCGAAGGATACCCGTGGGGTTTGTGTGCCTGGGAGATCTAGGTATTTTGCAACCGTGTATATCAATTATGCTGTGCTTGCAGAGTACTCTCAGCGGGGGGGTGGTGTGGAGGAGGAAGGGAAAACAGGGGGAGAAACTATATACAACATTCCGTAAGTCACGGTTTGGTGACATATGGTTGCCTAAAACAACGGAGAAGTTGGGTTACTAGAACCTTGGGGGTGTACCACACTGGTGTGGTAACTGGATCCCTATGTGTAGGGGATCAACAATAACTTGGGTCGAGTGTAGTGCCGTCGGGTATTGCTCACCCGTTGCGGCTAGGCCTGTGGCCTTTTGTTAAACCCTTATTGGGTATCTTAGGTAAACTTACAATATAACATACAACAGAAACAGTATAAACCTGTACGTTCAGTTCATTCATTGGAGGGCGTGGTGCGGCTCTGGGCCCGGATCTTTCAGGTCGGTGACTTGTCCGGGTCCATGCGTGCCTGGGGGGCCCTGTGGATTCGTGACCAGTCTTTGGACAGCGCCTTTGGTACATGGGCCGTTGCTTGTTTCTTCCTGGGGCTAGTAGGTAGGAAGGGTATATTCCATTCCTGAAGCGCCTTTTTGCCGTCTTCCGGAGTCATGATGGGCTTGTCCACGCCATTTCTTTTAATTAGTAGCTTCGTAGGAAAGCCCTACTTGTAGGGGATATCCGCGTTTCTCAGTGCTTATGTGATCGGTGCGAAGGCTCGGCGTTTGAGCATGGTCGCCGAGGAGAGATCAGTGAACAGCTTGATATCTTTATATAATTCTGGCCATTTGTTCATGGTCCTGGAAGTCTGCATGATTCTGTCCTTGACAGTGAAATGGTGTACTCTCGTGATCGTGTCTCTCGCAGTGTCTGGTGGGAGATGTTTAGGCTTCGGGAGTCTGTGGGTCCTGTCCAGGATCAAGTCGAATTCAGACAGAGAGGGGATCAGGGTTTTAAACAGGTCTTTGACGTACCTGGATAAATCTTGTTGTGAAATGGTCTCTGGTATACCCCTTATACGGATATTATTTCGTCTGCTCCTGTCTTCTTGGTCGGCCACCTTTTCTTCCAAGGATTTTAGTTTGCGTTCTAAGTCTGTGTAGGCCTCTGTTATTGTGTTATGTGCCTCCACCAGCTCGTCTGCTCTGTCTTCCAGGCGGGTGGTGCGCTCCCCCATGCTATGGATGTCTGCCTTGATGTCAGCGGTCATCTGAAGGAGGTCAGCCTTAAATGAGGTGTGGAGCTCCTGCATAATTAGCCTGATTGAGGCATTTGTTGCTGGATTGCTGTGCTCTGGCTGGCAGTCTCCTGTATCAGTGCTGTGGGTAGGCGAGTGCCGTCCGTCGGCGCCATCTTGGATTTTCAGCTCCACGGTTTGTGACCGTTCTAGGTGGGGATTAAGGGTTTTTTGCTTAAATTTTTTGGTGGCCATCAGGGGCGGAGGTGTTTACCTGAGGGTGTAGTAGGTTATTGCTCGTTTTTAGGGGTTTTTCACGCTGTGGTAGCTGCTTTATTGCCGCGGGCCGGGAGAGCTCCGTTCCTGCACGTCCGCTCACATGCGCGGTCAGGACACGCCCCCCTGCCCATGTTATGTTAATGTTTTCCTTATGTATTGTGTACATGTTCTGGGTTTAGCTTCCTATCCTTCTCTGGATCTGGGTTCTACTAGTTCTGTCTTGTTTTCATGTTTGGTGCCTATCTCTAGTCTTGCCTTGTTTCTGTACCGGATACATTCCTGCTGCAGAGCCTCCCTATTCAGCTCCTGGGAGGTCTGCTTATTTCCAAGCTCCTAGTTCCTGGGATCCGCTATAGCTGGATCAGGGTCCTTGTATGTGGCCACACAAAGCTGGTGATCAACACCAGGGGGCGTGCGGTTACCCTGCACCAGACCCTGCTTATCCACTTCCACATTGTGACTCCTACATCAACATCAGGCATACTGGGTCCCGGTCACCGGACCGCCACCCTGACACTAGCATCCAGCTGGTAATGTCGAATAAAGGTATTCTGCAATGACCACGTGGCTGCCCTACAGATCTGATCAGAAGGAATATGTGCCGCAGCTGCCCATGAAGTAGAGAGAGCCCTGGTGGAATGAGCTTTCAGTTCCCTGGGTACCGGAATTTCATTAACCTCATAAGCTTCAGATATAGCCGAGGTAATCCATCTGGAGATCGTTTTCACAGATGCCGTCTCGCCTTTATTTTGACCACATGGGAAAATAAAGAGTCTCTGAGATTTCCTCCATCCTGTAGTTCTGTATAGATAGACAGACCCAGATAATGAAGATTTATTCCCTCCTCTGAAGAAGGGGAAGGGTAGAAAACCAGTAATACTATCTCTTGATTCAGGTGGCAGGATGACATAACCTTTGGTCTAAATTCAGGTACTGTACCAAGGACAACTTTGCCCTGAAAAAATGATTTGTATCTGTGGTCTGCAGAAAGAGTTCATAGCTCCTAAACTTTACATCCAGAATGAGGGCTATTAGCAGCACTGTTTTTAGACTCAATAACATCATCAGATTTTCCTCCAGAGTTTCAAAATGGAAGTAATGAAAAGCCGACAGGACTAATTGAAGATACCAAGGAGGCAAAATGGATTTTAAAGGAGGTCTTATCTGGAGGAGTGCTCTCAGAAACCTTGCCACGTCTGGATGCAATGTTCATCTAAAGTTGAAAAGGGCTGACAGGGCAGACACTTGCACCTTAAAGGTATTAAGGCTAATTTCCTTCTATAGGCCTTCTTGAAGAAAATTCAACAATTCTGCTGCTGAGAAGAACACTGGGGAAACACTGCCCAGTTTGTGAACACATCATAGATTCTGTAATATGCCGCAAAAGTATTCTTCCTCCTAGCCCTCAACAGGGTAGAAATGACTGCTTCTGAGAAACTTTTTCTCTTCTAGCTGTCTCCTAGGGATAGGATGAAGGATGGTCCAGAGCCACATATGCTTTAGAGAGGTTAATGCCAATACTTCTCTCCATAAGTTCCCTGAGGGAGGTTGAGATATCAATAGTTCTCTTGGCCAGTCTGACTTCTGACTTGGCCAGTCACTACTGCCGCATCTACTGTCAGGATTACAGAATGATCCAGCACGTAGAATTTTGTAACACAGAGGACTGATAGGTAACGTATACCGGACCTTAGAATGGCCGAACTAACGTACCAAAGAATAGTCAGGAATAGCCGAGGTCAAGGGAAACAGAAAGAGACACAACGATAAGGAAAAGCCAGGAGTCAAGGATGCCAGAAAACA